GCAAGGAAGGCAAGGTTTGGGGAGGAAGACACATGGAGGATCGCACAGCACAACGCCTGGTACTCTTAACAGCCAGAACTTACTTGGCAGCACCGTTGCCGGCGGGAGCAGCAGCAGCAGGAGCAGCAGCGGCAGCAGCAGGGGCAGTAGAAAGGGCCTTGATAAGCTCCGCCTTGGTATCCCCCCGCACGCCCCTCTGCCTCGCCAGCGCCCGCAGCTCCCCCAGCGACGTGCCCTCCAGTCCACTCGCTCCCCCTGCCACTCCCCCTGCTGCCGGCGCAGCAGCACGAGCAGGCGGAGCAGCAGCGGCCCTGGGCGCAGCAGGCGCAGGGGGAGCAGGAGGGGGAGTCCTGCCACCGTCAAACGTCCCCCGGGAAATAGCATCCGCGTTAGCATTCCCAAGAGCTGCCTCGTTAAGGTAGGTGTCTGCGAGCTGCACCCGCTTCACATTCTCCTGCTCGGAAACCAGGAGGTGACCGTACTCCAGGAGGGTAGACAGAGGCATGCTCGGCTTCTCGAATTCCGGAGGGCCGGAGCGGGAGTTAACGAGTTTCTTGCCCATGTTCTCAATCCCGATCGACCCCACCCAGTTGCGGACCAAATCATCGTACACACGCGCGCGCAGCGCCCCGAAAAAGTCAATGGACTGGCCGGGGAAGGTGTCGACGAGCTGGATGACGTCACCCTCAGAGACATTGTCTTCCCGGAAGATTCCCTTGCAGACGCCGATGCGGTCGTCGCGGGTGGGCGCCCAGTAGAACTTGTCCATGCGCCCGTCGCGGATGAGCGGTGCGTAGAGTGTTGAGAAGTCGTTTCCAGTCACGATGATGGGCACGCGGTTGATCTCCTCCTTGTTGTAAATGCCGGGCATCTGGAATTCGAAGGGACGAGATGGAGGGGAGGAGGGCCCGAGACATAACAAGGGAAGGGAGTGGGAGAGGCAGAGCCGTTTGAGACTGGCACGCGGTTGATCTCCTAGTTATACAAGCTGGGCATTTCAGTGTGGGAAGGAATGGGGGAAGCGGATGCTAGACGGGGAGTGAAGAGAGAGATCGAGGGTGACATGATGGGTTTGCGAATAAAGGAAAGAGGCCGCGTGTAAGACCCCGTGCATTAAGATGTTATCTCATTCCCGACAATGTCATTCCATTTCTAGTCGCTCGTTGTTCAGTTCAGGCAGGCGATTCGGTGCGATGGCAATCAAGGCATCCTCTAAAGGAACTCTCGCCACAACCACGTGAAATCCGTCGTTGTCGACCATTTCTTTAAAACCAAGTAGTCCCACGATACGAGTTATGCCAACCAAACCCTGCTACACGAATAGACGAGTCTTTCCCTGGACTATCCTCTAAGCTCGCAGGACCTACAGCTTGCGACTTTGCACCCAAATCTGCCGAGACACCTAAGCCTCATCCTCTTGAACGGCGACCAAAGCGTGAAGCGCACCTGCACGTTGGTGGGGTTGTCGGCGATGTTCATGAGCGTGGCGTTCACCATCTGGTTGTTCACCGTGTACTGCGTCGTGCCGCCCATGCGCCCCGCGCCCGCGTCGAGATCGTTGATGAAGAGCGCGCACATCTTGCCCTTCTTGATCAGATCCGACGCCTCGCGGTAACGCTGTAGGGGGGGAAGAAGACGAAACAGCGCAAGACAATAAGGGGGGGGGGGGTAGCTGGGAAGGAGTCAGAGAGAGTATAGAGGCGGATAGATAGAAGCGAGGGGAATGGGATGCATTGCATCATTGCATGGATGGCAGACGACGCTGGACCCTACGTGAACACGATCGACACGTTGCTGTGACCCAGGGACACCAAGCACCCAGCGCACATTCATGCGCATTCATCCAACGAAGGACGAGTAGAGTAATGGAACGAGGAAAACAGATGGATGAAGCCCACTCGCACTCAAGCAACGTCATAACGACATGCGCGCCGCGCTCGTGATAATGAGACAAGACCCATTGCAGCAAGTCGGCGTGCTCTGCTCACCTGCCGAATGAGCTTGGCGGGCTCGCCGGCGTTGCCGCTCTCGAGCTCTCCCGCGGAGATCATGATGGGGTTGATGCCCATCTTAGCGAACACCAGCTCGCACTGTAACGCGTACACAAGGATATTTGCGGGTGGATGCGGATTAGACAACCACACTAGACATAGCTACTGTATATGTCCTAGATATATACTCGTAGACGAGAAGCGCAAGCGGATAAACATGTCACTGCAGAGGAATGAAAACTGAAGAGAATACCAGGATACGACACGGCATTGCGAAAAGGATAGGGAGAGGTGGTGGGAACGGGGAGGGGGAGGGGCGAGCAGGAAAGAAGCAGCTACCACTCTTGCTAGTTGATACACAAGGAAAAAAACAGAAGAATTGGAGAAAGGAAGAGAAAAAGCCGAGAGGAAGGCATACCTGGAAGGACTTGCCCTGGCCCTTGCCACCCCAGATGCCGAGAATGAGCGGCACGCGGATGTTGGGCAGCTGCATGAAGTTCTTGCAGATGTGCACCACCATCTTGTCCATGAACGCCGGCGCGATGTACAGACCCTCCGCCGTCACGTTGCTCAGACTGCAAAAGGGGGGGAGGGCGGAAGCGGAGGCGGGAGCGGGAGGGGAGGGAGGGGTTGGAAGGGGGGAGTAGGGTGGAGGGGGGAAGGCGGGGGGTGGTGCGGGGTGAGAGAGAGACAGGGAGCAACGAGTCCGCACTGAGAATGTTTCTTTAGACCATGCAACACTTCTTGCAGATGTGTACCACCATCTTGTCCATGAACGCCGGCGCGATGTACAGACCCTCGGCGGAGCACGCGGGAACGTACTTGCGCCGGCCCTGGCTCATGTAGTCGTACGAGCTGAGAGAGAGTCGCACGAGGGAGCACGCGAGAGCATGCGAGAGCGCGACGGCGGATAAGAGAGCGCGAGAGAGCACGTGGGACGTACTTGCGCTGGCCCTGGCTCATGTAGTCGTACGAGCTCAGCACCGCCGCGTGCGTGCCCTGGCCCCATCCGCCCTGGAACGCCGCGTCCACCATGCCCTTTCCGCGGGTGATGTCCTGCTGGTCGTCGGAAATGTCGCGCCCGAGCCCCGCCCAGCGGTCCTCCGCCATGCATGTCACGCGCGCGCGGCCCGCGGGGGGAGCTCCGGGGAGCTTTGCGCCCGAGAGGGTCGCATTGCTGGAGAGCTGCGCGGACGAGCCGAGAAGCGCGGATGAGGCAATCTGCAGGCGGATGCAGGGGGAGGAGAAGCAGGAGAGACGGGGAGAGGCGGCGGTCAGAGGGAGGAGAAGGACGGGAAGACGGTGAGGGGAGCACGGTCAGACGAGAACCGTGGAGCGTATGGCAAGGAGAATAGAGTATGCAAAAAGGACGAAACGAGCTGTCGAAACGCGGAGTGAAAATAGGAAAACAAGGTGACGGCAGCATCTGGATAGAGGTTGGGATGGCGGACCTTGGCTGAAAGAGTGGTGGACGCCATGGTGTCTGCTACGAGGTCACCACACACGGAGAGCTAGTAGCGCGTGCACGGACGACAATCGCCAAGACAGCCGGGCGAAGGCGAACAGAACGAGTTACTCGTGGGAGCAAACTCGAGTCAAGGCAGCGAGTGAAGAATAAGCAATGGAGCCGACACTCTCAGAGTTAGCAGACTGGGACAGCTGAGGAAGACCAAGTTGAAGAAGGGTAGAGGTTGGTGAGGAATGAAGAACCAGCTGATTGGCAGCCATGGCTGCATGCCTGGTGTCGAGTTGGGCCACCACAGATGGTGGATGAGAGGATCCGCCAGATGCCACGTCGGACAGATGCCACGCGACAAGGAGGGCCCTACGAGCACCACGGTCAACTACAGACCACGAGGGCCGTTGAGGACCGATGGGGAGGAAGCTATCTGCTCTCGGATTTTTGCCACGTGGCAGGCGGTTCGATTTGGAGGAAATATCAGCCACAAGTGCCCGCTGAAACATCCCATTAGGCCTTGATTCGGGACAAGCTTCGGGAGCCACTAGATGGGCGAGTTTGAATCTGGACGGGCTACCAAGACAGAGCTGGCTAGCTGGCCACATCAAAACCACGTCAGCGGTTCCTGCGTGGATAAGGAAAATGAGTTCTTCAGTAAGCTGCTGCCCGAAAAGCTAAAAATTTCCACTTGTATGCTCGTTCGACTTTCTGTCCTCCCAAAAAGCAGTCGGCTGTTCGTGAACCTAGACCCTTTCCGTCGGAGAATCATCCGACGTGGAAACTGCCAACATGGCCGAACCATTTGGAAAACGCTCTTTTCGAGGTACGCCACGCTGGCAATTTGATCTATCACCCGTCTGTCGTCAATCCCAGACCAGCAATTTCATTCAGGGGCACGTGTGGTGGAGAGTGAGACGAGCCTTGCCCGGTAACTCGTCCGCATTGGCGTGCATGCCATGCCCTGCTGGTTTCCGCTTTTCCCCCATGCATCTCACACTACCCTTCCCCAACCCACTCAACACCCCTCCTCCCAGTGCCAACTGCCAAAATGCCACCAGACTGCTCCACAGTGTAGCGAGGAAAAGAGAACTGGATAGGCATGGCAATCCCAAGGCGAGAGACAGGTCAAATTGAGGCGAGCTAAGCTTTATTTTGAAAATTGTCTTCTGTTCGCTCGTCTGCCTTTCTGCTCTCCGTTGCTGACAAGTTAGCTCGTTCCTACCTCGCTTCTTCGTCAGCTTCGTCAGCAAAGAGCAGCCATGGCCGCCGTCGCTCAGAAGGTACTTTCCCTCAACATTGTAGTGTTGAATGACGTTCCAGAGTAGGATTACGCTCTTATTTCCAGTCACAGATTGGCCTACTGAACAACGGCTAGAAGTCCTTAACCATCATAACGACAGCATTAGGTTCACAACTGCCATCATAACCTCCGCAATGCCGTCTTTATCTTGCCGTTTTCGTTGTCTAACAATGTTCTTCCGTCTGCACGTTCGTCTCCGTTTTCCTCTCTTCTGCAGTCCGCCTTCCTCGCAGCACCTGCTCTCTCCTCCATGGAGCAGGCACGCTCCGTGTCCACGATGGTCTCGCTCCCAGCGATCCAGGCCAAGCAGCAGCGTCGGTCACTCGTCGCTGTCGCCGCCTTGACCGCTCGCGACCTGCAGGGCAGGTCGCTGGAGCAGCTGCGTGCCATGGCCCGCCAAAAGGGTATCGTTGGCAGCAACAAGGCCCAGCTCATTGCCGCCCTCACTGGGTGAGTCTTAGGTTGAAGTGTTAATTGTTGGCTTATCACCGAGAGTCATCCCGTCCGATATTCGCTGCTTCGTGTGGGTTCCAAGCCTTTGCGCGTCATGCTTCCCTCCGCTCGAAGCTGTTGGTTTGCTGCTCACATACCACCATGTCATCCTTAATATTTATCTCGCTGTTGTCGCGACTCTCTTGATTCCTTCTCGCAGCGGTGCCTCCGCAGCCACGCCCGCGGCGTCGTACAGCCGCGCTGCTGCGGCTGTGTCGGGCGACGAGGCCCTCCTGCAGAGCAAGACTCTGGGTGAGCTGCGCGCGCTCGCCTCCGCTAAGGGTCTCCGCGGTGACACCAAGGCGGAGATCATCAAGCTGCTCCTGTAAGCATCGCCTTCCCGTGCGTGTTGCGTCGTCCAGCTTCCGGCTTTCATGCACCTACCTATCAAGTTTTGTCGTTTATTGCAACCGTCACATTCGCCAAACTTTCCATTTGTGGATTTATTGTTACTATTACTTCGCTAATGGCCTTCGGTTCTTCCCAACCGCAGGAGCGTTGGCGGCGTCACCCCCGCCCCGGCTGCGCCCGCTATTTCCTTCTCCGCTGAGGCGCTTTCCCCCGTGGTCCCCAACACCCAGTCTATCTCCGACTACCAGCGCCGCCTCCAGACCAAGCCCATGTCCAAGCTGCGCGCCGTTGCACGCATGCGCGGAGTCTCGGGGACCACCCGCGCGGAGCTGGTCGCGGGGCTTCTCGCGTACCACGGCGGTGCTTCCGCCGCTGGCGCTCCCGCGTCCGCGGTGCAGGGTTTCGCGCAGGACAAGCCCGAGATTGTCGGCCAGCTAGAGAGCCTCGCCTTGAGCGAGCTGCGCGCGCTCGCTAAGGCGCGGGGAGTGCGCGGAGACACCCGCAAGGAGCTCATCAAGCTCCTGACGTAAGTACCTTTACCTAAAGCACTTTCTCAAACATAATTTAAAGCTTAATGATGTGAATGAAAGTACAGATGGTAAGTATGAGTTTCTTAATGACCTTGTTTCCGCTTCTCTATTGCAGTGGCCCCGCCGCTCCCAAGGCTGCTGCCCCCGCTTCCTACACCAACGGCAGCGCCGTGGCCTCGTCGTCGTCCTCGTCCTACACCCCGTCGTACTCCGCCCCCGCGTCCTCCTCCGCGCCCGCTCTCCCTAGCGCTAGCATCCTCGCGACGAAGTCGCTGGCGCAGCTGCGCGCGATTGCCGCCCAAAGGGGTATCCGCGGTAACACCAAGCAGGAGCTGGTGAAGGCTCTGACCTCGTAAAAAGGGAGATTTCAAGGGGGGAATATTTGGGGATGCTTCAAGTTATTTGTATGCATTTAGGCCACCACCACGAATTGTCTCCTTTTTTTGGGCTCTAGAGCCTTCAACAGTAAAATATTCAAGCTTTCACTGGTGTGTACTTGTTTGGTTGGGATGGCATGAACCAATGGCAGCGGTGAACTGCAGAGGGGGAATGAGTGGAGACTGCACTCCATTGCCGTTGAGGCAGGGGAGGGAAGGGGGTGTGAGGCAGGGAGGGGTGTCCACACACATGGTGAATATCTGACCCCAGTGCTCCAGGCATCACATTACGGTATCGTCTAGACTGCATTTGTGTCATAGTCTGTATCAGCCCGAACACACTACAATGAGGGCCATGGCCCCTGTATGTGTGCGCTCTAAACAGCTGGGGTGTGGCGTGGCGAGCTATCAATGATTGCCAGAGCTGAGCAGTGGGCATCTGCAACATGGTTGAACTTGGGTGCATGCTAACCGCAAGCAGCCTTGCATGCGCCATACTGTGATGTCCCAGTACCTGTACTGTTCCATGCTTCGTTTGCCAGTGGAGGGATGTCAAGTTTAAAAAAAAAGAGGTTGCAGTCACCAGTCACCTTTCATTCCATTCATTGAAGCAGTGGGATGAAGCACAAGTCACTTGAACTGCATGCATGCATATATACACCAGTGGGGTGAAGCACTTCTCACGTGGCACATCATGTCTGTACCTGCAAACACAGAGAACCAAGCAAAGTACACACCACACCAACCAACAGGAGAACCCAGGGGTACCTATAACAATAAGCTGAGCATGCACCAGTGACCAATGACCAGTGACCAGTGACCAGTCCCAAAAGTCTCAAGCATAGATGCCGCCTTTAATGAAGACATGGAAGTGGCTCGTACCTGAAAGAGCCCTCCACCCTTCTTGAGCAGAAAGCCGGCTTCATTCAGGCTGTCAATCAGCGCATGAAGATCCGGCACTCTCAGACACATGTCGTCCGCTAATTGGGCCAGCTCCTGACAGGCGATCGGGATGTGGAAGATGGGCAATGGGGATGTTGAAGTTGGGCAATGGAGATGTGGAAGATGGGCAATGGGGATGTGGAAGTTGGGCAATGGGGATGTGGAAGTTGGGCAATGGAGATGTGGAAGATGGGCAATGGGGATGTTGAAGTTGGGCAATGGAGATGTGGAAGATGGGCAATGGGGATGTGGAAGTTGGGCAATGGGGATGTGGAAGTTGGGCAATGGAGATGTGGAAGATGGCAATGGGGGTATGGAAGATGGGAATGGGGGTATGGAAGATGGGAATGGGGGTATGGAAGATGGGAATGGGGGTATGGAAGATGGGAATGGGGGTATGGAAGATGGGAATGGGGGTATGGAAGATGGGAATGGGGGTATGGAAGATGGGAATGGGGGTATGGAAGATGGGAATGGGGGTATGGAAGGAAAGCACGTGGCACGGCATCAGCACATTGAGATCCGGCACTCTCAGACACATGCCGTCCTCTGATTGGGCCAGCTCCTGACTGGCAACGGGCGGCACAATGTAATACGAAGAAGAAGGTGAGGCACGGCATGAGGGCAACCTACAGAACCGCTTCGACTCCTTTGACTTGCTCAAGCTGACTCGTAAGGACTCAAAACTCAAATCAAAACGGACCTATCTTGAGAAGCACGTTTTGATGGCCTGCTTGGCGGTGCGCTGCAGGGTGGCCAGGAACGGCGTTGACTTCTTTGACTTGCTCGAGGTGCATTTTGATGTAAGAATCAGAGACAAACCTTCCTTGAGAATCACGCTATGATGGCCTGCTTGGCGGTGCGCTGTAAAGCAGCAATGAAGCGTTTTGACTCCTTTGACTTGCAGGAGGCGAGTGGTGATGTGACTTGTGATGTGAGTTAAGTTGGCTCGAAAGCCACAACGAACCTTTCTTGAAAAACACGTTTTGATGGTTTGCTTAGCCGTGCGCTGCAGTGCCGCCAGAAACCGCTTTGACTCCTTTGACTTGCTCGAGCTGCCTTGCGAGGTGAGTGGGGTAAGAATTCAGGACGGACCTTCCTTGAGAAGCATGTCTTGATGGCCTGCTTAGCAGTGCGCTGCAGCGCGGCAAGGAACCGCTTTGACTCCTTTGACTTGCTCGAGCTGCCGCCCCGACCCGCGTCTATGTTGCCCGCCTCGTCTGTCAGCTTATCCAGCAGACACTCCCCCATCAGCTCCACCGCCTCTTGCGCATCAGCCTCGGTAACCTCCTCCCGCAGCTCCACGCGGGCCCGAGCCTCGGCGAGCCGGACGAGGCTCTCCAGCTGGCGCGCTGTGATTGGAGGGCCGTCCATGGCTCTGCTGTGCTCCCTCAGTCGCAGGTAGAACGCCTTGATTACTGCACGTGCCTCCTCTGAGAGCCTGTAGTGAAAGCGAGCGGCAGAAACACAAGGGATGGCAGTGGGTTTGGCGAGGTAGATAATGATACATTGTGGGACTGGAGGGCCATCCATGGCGCGGCTGTGCTCCCTCAGCCGCAAATAGAACGCCTTGATCACTGCACGTGCCTCCTCTGACAGCCTGTAGTCAAAACGAGCGGCAGAAACACAAGGCATGGCAGTGGGTTTGGCGAGGGAAATAATGATGCATTGTGGGACTGCAGGGCCGTCCATAGCTCGTCTGTGCTCCCTTAGCCGCAGGTAGAACGCCTTGATCACTGCCCGCGCCTCCTCTGACAGCCTGTAGTCAAAACGAGCGGCAGAAACACAAGGGATGGCAGTGGGTTTGGCGAGGGAAATAATGATGCATTGTGGGACTGCAGGGCCGTCCATAGCTCGTCTGTGCTCCCTTAGCCGCAGGTAGAACGCCTTGATCACTGCCCGCGCCTCCTCTGAGAGCCTGTAGTCAAAACGAGCGGCAGAAAGAAGTAAAAGTCGGATTGCAGCGGGGAACCACTTTCAAAGGGAATTCGGGCCTGGCAGAGCTTGCACGCCCATGCAGGAATTAGCATGTCGAGGTGACTTTTGAGTCGACTCAAAAGGGGCCGGGCAGAGCATCACGTGCATGCAGGAATTAGCATGTCGAGAAACATGAGGAGGGCGGAGAGGGGAAGGAAATATGCACATAGTCTACACGTGAGCGCGCACCTGGGGTGCACATGCGTGCGAGCGTATGCAATGTACTGGCGCAGGCGAGCAGGGGAGAGGGGGGAGAAGTTGCGGGCAGCAGATGAGCGCAGGCGCAGGCGGTGAGAGAGAGGCAGGTCAAGGTGCGATGCATGGCCATCCGTTGCTGATGGGGCTGTCAGGAAGAGATGGGCTGGTGGGGTGGGTTGGGGTGGGGTGAGAAAGAGCGGGGTGAACGAAGGGAGGAAAGTTCAGATGTGAGTAAAAGTGGGCAGCAGAGGAGCGGAGGTGCAGACGGTGCGAGAGAGGCAGGTCGAGGTACGATGCATGGCCGTCCGTGGCTGATGGGGCCGTGAGGAAGAGGTGGGCTGGTGGGGTGGGTGTGATGGGGTGAAGAGGTGGGGGTGTGAGAGGAGGGGGGGTATATTGAAATGTGAGGATGAATTACTGTCAGAACGACAAAGGAATGCGATGGTCTGGTGAGATGGGATGGGATGCAAGGAGGGTTGTTGACCAAAGTGGGAAGTTCGAGATGTGAGTGCTATTACTTGCTGAAGGCGTGATAAAAAACGATACAGCCTGAATGGACAATGGACGAAAAAAATATTGGTACAAGAGGAGGAGACAGTGTGGCAGGCAGCTGCTTTTGGATGGCTTGGAGCGAGATGGAATGCTTGCCTGCATCTACAATACACCCAGGCAACACAGATGCCACACATGCATGCATGCATGTAGTGAGGGATGCAGTGAGAGAGGGAGTGTGGTGCACGACTCACAGCTGCGCTTGGATGCCTTGGAGCGAGACGGCATGCCTGCATGCATCTGTGGGATAAACACAGGCAACAAGGAGAAAGAAGCTGAAGAATGGTGAACGGAACCCGCTTCTGAAGGCTCTACCACATGCCTCGAGTGATTAGCCTAACCACAAAACGCCAAACCAAATGGCATTACAGCATACCTCTACCACACACGTGTACCACATTTGTTTAGCACATGCCTGCACCACATACGTATGCCACTTGCCTCTACCACATGTTACGTTTTGAGACGTCTCAAATCTACCACATATCACATGCATAAAACATATACCTGTACCACATTCCGCTACCCTCTCACCTGCAGCACGTGCTCTGATAGACGCTGGTCCGTGTGGTGGTCTGGCCGGTCCAGGAGAATGAAGATCAAATCGAATCTTGACAGGAGCGCGGCAGACAGCTTCAGATTCTCGTTTAGTGTGCGCGCTCGACTATTGTGGAGGAAATGGGAGAACATAAGAGAAAATGGGAGTGGAGGGGAGGGGAAGGGACGGGCCAGGAAGAAAAGGACAGGGTGGGAAACGGAAGTACTGGAGGAGTGAGAGGTCCTGAAGCGAAGACGCCAAGGAGGGAAACAGAAGGAAAGGAGTGAGAGCGAAATGGGGAACGGAGAGAGAATCCTATCATTGGGACTCTAATTTAAAAACCATATGGACGCAGAATAAAAGCCTGAAATCTGTGTTCGTTTGCTCTTAGCGCTCACATGTAGTGGCCCCCAACCCAACGGGGTTGGCAGCAGCCAGCACAGCAGCGTGTACACTGAAGTTTAGTTTTGAGCCGACAACTCACTTGTAATGCCCGCCAACGGGGTTAGCAGCAGCCAGCACAGCAGTGCGCGCACTAAAGTTTGCCAGCAGACCTGCCTTGGCCACACTCACGCTCTGCTGCTCCATGGCCTCCAATAGCGCCTGTAAGGGGGGAGAGGAGGTGGGAGTTGAAGAGGAGGAAAGAGCCGGATGGAGGGGGTGAGTACAGAAAAGAAGCCTTGGCAGCAGTCACACTCACGCTCTGCTGCTCCTTGGCCTCGAGTAGCGCCTGGGCGAGGGAGCAGGGCGAGGAAGAGGAAACGAACGACCCAAGTAAAGCTGGAGGGGGTGAGGACGTAAATGAAGCATTGGCCACACACTCACACTCACCCGCTTCTGCTCCATTGCTTCCACACTGCCTAGAGAGGGGGCGTGGGGGGTGAGGACGGAAAGAGCAAACTATATATGAAGATGGTGCAGCTGTCAGCAGGGAGAGATGGAAAGGAGGGAGAAGTGGAGCTGGTGGGTGGGAGGGAGTGGAGAGAGAGATGTGGAAAGACAGGAGGCACAGGAGGCACAGTAGGAAGAGATGCGTATCATTGCACACTCCATTGATTCTCTTATTGCTCATGACATTTCATCATACCTAATCACAGCACGCTACCCACACCCCGCCCACCTGTTGCTCGTTGCCCATCTTATCAAACTCGTCAATGCAGCACGTGCCCTGATCTGCCATCACCATGGCTCCTGCAGGGGAAAGCAACGGGAGAGAACGACAGGGGAAGAGAGTAAGGGCACCGTCCCAGCGCCAAGCATCAAGCGCCTCACATTTTGCATCAAGTGCCTCACATCTCGTCCATGCAGCACGTGCCCTGATCCGCCATTACCATGGCTCCTGCGATGCAAGAGGGAGAGAAGGGGATGAGGTGAGAGAGGGAGTCAAACAAAGAGCTATTTAGGCATCTGGAGAGAGTCACATTCGTCAATGCAGCATGTGCCCTGATCAGCTATCATCAAGGCTCCTGCTGGAAATGATACAGGGGAAGACAAAAGGGGAAGAAAGAGAGGGTGCTTCCCAAGAGCAAAATTATTACCCCATCTCCTACCCCACCACCCACTAACCTGCTTCGAATGCGTACTCTCCTCCAGGCCCATCCTTCACCACTGCCACCGTGAGCCCCACAGACGAGGCACCAGAGCCACACAGTACACCCCACGAGGTGCCACAGCCACTGCAGCACCCAACCCCTCGCACCTCGCCCTTCTTACCCTCCCACCACCGACCTGCTTCAAATGCGTACTCCCCGCCAGGCCCGTCCTTCACCACTGCCACCATGAGCCCCACAGAGGAGGCGCCAGACCAGCCTGCAAGGTGCCATTGCTGCAACCATTCCCTTCCAACCCCATCTCCTATCCCACCACCAACCTGCTTCGAAGGCGTACTCCCCGCCAGGCCCGTCCTTGACCACGGCCACTGTGAGCCCCACAGAAGAGGCCCCAGAGCCACACACATACACCCCACGAGGTGCCACCGCTGCTGCTGCCTTGAGCAGCTGGCTCTTTCCCATGCCTGGATCGCCTGGATGGTTTGATTGGTTGGAAAAAATGAGAGTGACAAAAAGGAATGCGTGGGGACGTTGACACAAGATTTGCTGTTATTCAGATGGCTTTAAAATGATCCAAAAATCACTGTTGCTGCTGCTGCCGGTTTGAGCAGCTGACTCTATTCATTCATTCTATGGGCCCTTAGACAAAGGGATCTCTTGTTGCCACCCCAGCAAATGACACACACATCTCCATGCTTGCACAGGTGGAAAGTGGAATGTCGGGAAGAGAGATATGAGGTGGAAGTGCTTTGGTTCAAGGCAAAAATGCACAAGCAGGGGCAGCTAGAGCTAGAGACGTTTCCAAATATAATAAATCACCCACCTGCAAAGGCATTATTCAGTGCTATCAACAAGAAAGCACCTACCCATCAACCACTTCTGCAAGCACTTACCCACTAGCAGCGCGTGCACATCTCCCCTGACTGGCACGCGGTTGGCATCCCCTTCATGTTTGCGCACACCTCCAAAGAGTGACAGTATAATGCCCGCTGCGAGTGAGAGAGACAGGGGAGACGAAAGCAGGGAGGAAGAGGGAAGCAACTGCAGGTGCCACCGTACCACGGAGAAACAAGGCGCGGCCGTAGACGAAATGGCAGCAGGAGTGCACGATGTGCTGACACAGATCACCTTCTTTGTCCTGCACATGGCCGTAGACGGAATGGTAATGATAATGGTAATGGTAATGGTAATGACAATGGTAATGGTAATGGTAGTGGTAGTGGTAATAGTAATGATAATGGTAATGGTAACGGTAGTGGTAAAAGTAATGGTAATAGTAATGGTAATGGTAGTGGTATTAGTAATGGTAATGGTAATGGTAATGGTAATGGTAATGGTAATGGTAATGATAATGGTAATGATAGTGATAATAGTAATGATAATGGTAATAGTAATGGTAATGGTAAAAATAATGATAATGGTAATAATAGTGGCAATAGTAGTGGTAATGGTAATGGTAATGATAATGATAATGGTAATGGTAGTGGTAATGGTAGTGGTAATGGTAATGGTAATAGTACTGGTAATGGTAATGGTAGTGGTAGTGGAAATGGTAATGATAATGATAGTGGAAATGGTAATGATAATGGTAATGATAGTGGTAGTGGTTATGATAATGGTAATTGTAATGGTAATAATAATAGTAGTGATCGTGGTAATGGTAATAGTGATGGTAATAGTAATGGTAGTGGTATTCGTAATGGTAATGGTAATGGTAATGGTAATGGTAATAATACTGGTAATGGTAATGGTAGTGATAGTGGTAATGATAATGGTAATAGTAATGGTAGTGGTAATGATAGTTGTAATGGTAATGGTAATCGTAATGGTAATAGTAATATGAATGGTAGTGGTAGTGGTAATGGTAATGGCCGTAGACGGAATGATCGAGTTGAGTGACTCACAGGGTTCAGAAAGTCAATCCAACTTTTACCTGCACATGGCCATAGACGGAATGGCAGAAGGAGTGCACGATGTGCTGAAACAGATCACCTTCTTCCTCATGTTGTCCTCCCCCAGCTCCACCGCCCCTCCACTCGCACCAATAGCAGCACACAGCCGAGAGCGGAGAATAGACAAGTCAGCCCACCTTTCACGAGCACATGGCCGTAGATGGAGGTCGTTCTCCCCCTCGTGCTCCACCACATACTCCAGTATGCTCCTCATGTCCTCCTCCCCTCCCCCATCTCCAACATGCCCCTCATGTCCTCCTCCCCCAGCTTCAACAGATACATATTCCAACATGCCTTTTGAGTAGACTCAACAGTTGCCCAGAGAGTTAGCTCAGCTCACCTTTAACGAGCACATGGCCGTAGATGGAGGGGCAGAAGGAGTGCACGAGGTGCTGAAACAGGTCGCCCTCGCCCTCATGCTCCACCACATAATCCAATATGCCCCTCAGGTCCTCCTCCCCCAGCTCCACCGCCCCTCCACTCGCACCACCCGCAGAGGGAGGAGAGCGGAGAGCAGGGGTGGCAGTTGCAGCAGTGGTGGCGGTGGGGCTTGGGGTAGTGGACTGGGAGTTGGCGTTGACGACAGAGATGGCATCAATGTAGAGCTGGAAAAGGCATTGTTCTCTCTTCTTGGACCGCCCTGAAATAGAGGGGCACGTGGATGCACAAGTGTGTGTGTGTGTGTGTGTGTGTGTATGTGTGTGTGTGTGTGTGTGTGTTTGAGAGTGTGGCTTGTGAGGTGCCTCAAAACTCATGGACAATGGAGTTGGCGTCTATGTAGAGCTGGAAGAGGCATTGTCCCCGCTTCTTGGACCGCCCTGCCATGCATGGGAGGGGCACATGCCATGCACACGTGTGTATGCCTTGGTGCTCTAGAGAAAAGCACATGGCTGGAGAAAAACGCACGACTTGTGTTTCACTAGCAATAATTTCTATCTAGTAGCTCAACACTTCCCATTCCTCCCAACCCCTCACCTCCCCCCACATCCAGTTCGTTGTTGATGATGACAATCCCACACACCGCCACCACGTCCCCCGGGCAGACACATACCTTTGAGCCAACTCAGAACCCACTTCCCACTCCTCCTATCCCGCCCCTCACCTCCTCTTATGTCCGTCTCATTATTCATGATCTTGACAATGCCACACACCGCCACCACGTCCCCCGGCACACACAGAACTTTCAGCAAATACAAAACCTACCTTCCACTCATATCCCCTCACCTTTCCCCTCACCTCACCTCCTCCCACGTCCGTCTCGTTGTTGATGATCTTGACAATCCCACACACTGCCACCACGTCCCCCGGCAGGCATGCATCCGCCAGGTCCTCCCTGAGCTCGCAGTCCACCACCCGCGGCATCCTCCCCATGTCCTCGCCCCCTCCCGTGCCGCCTGTCAGCTCCTGGAGACTGCACATCACGAAAAACACGTGAGAGAAAAGTAGGAGAAATCGGGATAATAAGCAGGTAAGAATGGGTGCGTGTGAGACAGACATGCATCCGCCAGGTCCTCCCTGAGCTCGCAGTCCACCACCCGCGGCATCCTCCCCATGTCCTCGCCTCCACCAGTGCCACCGGTTGGCTCCTGGAGACTGCATATCGAAAGAAAGACAGAAGGTTGAGATCCGAGGAAAGAGATCAACTTGGTTTGTGTGGTTTACCCAGACCATAGAGGTCGAGGGTAAGAGACGTAGGAAATTTAACGAAGACATGTGCCATGCTCCATCGGGACTGGAATGGTGGAGACTTGGCAGTGATGGGTGACGGACACACAACTCACCGTATGGTTTGGAAGTTTATTTTCCGGGCACCTGCCCGGTTTTGCAGGAAGGTGCGGTTGCGGCAGTTGTCATGACCGCAGGCTGTAGGCTGGGAGAAGCGCCCATCCGGGAAGGAGAGGGAGGTGATGGCGCCACAGCGCGTGCAGGTGAAATCCATAGCAACCACTAGAGGCCGCAGTGGACCTACTCGCACCACTGTCCCACACACTGTCACCAGCCGATCTGGGTGAAAAAAAAAAAAAGGAGAGAGGATAAAAAAGGAGAGGTGAGGTGAGGTGGGGAGAGGGGATGAGAGGTGAGGGGAGGAGAGGGACCGGGGGGACGACAGTGAGGAGGAAGCCACCGTTTGAAGGAAACTTCCGCTTCCACATTCTTACAGCAGCCAAGCAAGGCGAGGAAGATGCATAAATGTTGGGTGTGAAAGGAAAGAAGTAACAAAATCAATGGTGTAAACCGCAGTGTCGCAGCTGGAGCCCAACCCAACAACCGTACAAACACTGCCTTTAAACGATGATAAAAAATATAGACTGCAGGTGAGTCTGCTTGACAGTCTCACCAAGGCTGCTGGCTTTGAGCTTCTAAAACTCGATGACTGAGTCTGTGTAATCCACCAGCCTCACAGCCAGGCGAAAGGACAACCAGATGTACAGGATTGCTACCGAGTCTGCTGAAATAATAGACTCACCGAGGCTGCTGGCTTTGAGCTTCTTGAATTCAATAATCGAATCAGTGTGATCCACCAGCCTCACAGCCAGGCGAGACGAGGCATGCTGTGAGGCACATGCTGACGCAGAGGGGAGAGCTGGGGCCTCGATCAGGCCTCTCTCCAGAAACATCTGCCACGTAGGGAAAGGCGAATCCGTTAGTGGACACAAAAGTCACAAGGGGGAGGTGGGACCTCGAGCAGGCCTATCTCGAGAAACATCTAGCACAGAGGGAGAAACAAGTGGTGGAGACTGTGTGAGGGAGACAGTGTGAGGGAGGCAGTGGAGGAAGAGAAGCATGCGATGCTGATCGTATAGCTAATCATCAGCGCACGTACATGGGTGATGAGAAAGAACACGGTCAAGGAGGACTCAGCAATGCACCAACCGCAAACCAGCAACGGGAGGGACAGTACACATACAGCGCAGCACAAAAAAATATCCTTGTGCTACCCTCTCCCGGTGAAGGGAGCCATACGGCACGGCTACCTGACCACAACTGCAATGCCACACAACCTTGTTTCGAGTGTGTGAAATAACCAACATCTTACTGAAGGCACCGCACCTCAGTGGCAGCAGCACCGAGGCAGGCCAGTGCTTCCTCAGGCGCTGCTTCAAGCGCTTGAAGAAGCAACTCCGCAGCTGCGCCCAGATCACTCTGGCCAGTGCTGCACGCAGGCTGCAGATGCTGCTTCAACGACTCCATGCTGACCGTCCATCTTGAAAACAGAGACAGCTCCTTAGGATCGGCCTGTGTTTTGGTAGGTGGGAAGCAGGGATGAGGTATGGTAAAACATGTCAATGAAGGCACCGCGCCTCAGTGGCAGCAGCACCTGGCAGGAGCTGCTTCAGTGAATCCATGCTGACCGTCCATCACGAGAACGGAGACAGCTCTTTACGGTCGGCCTGTTTCAGGTGAGAGGAAGGAATGAGAATGCGGTGAGGGTGAGCTGTGGCCGTTAGATAAAAAATGCCTGCCAAGGCTGCCATTGCACCTGAGATTGTCAGTCGCAGCATCGAGAAATGTCAGTCAATGCATTAGAAATGTCAGACAGGTTATCAGTCATCGCTGCCACTGCATCCGAAACTGTCAGTCACTGCATCAGGAAAAGTCTGTTGATGCACACCGCTGCATCAGAATGTGCCTGTTATCAGTCTCATCATCCAAAAAGTAATTGTCATGCATCCACCTGTTCTGAGTAACGGATATCAGTCAGTCATTGCATAGGGAGACGTCAGTCACCACTGACGTCCGAAATCGTCTATTGTTGCATCAGGAATCTCCTACCGCTGCTACAAATTTCCTCAGGTACTACCTGCTGCAGCAGCTGCTGGCCTTTCTCCGTGAGGAATCCGTCAATGAGCGATTTGATGAGCTCGGCTCGTCTGTCCTCGGGAGAGAACTCCTCGCTAGGGAAATAAAGCGTCCAGGAAATTGGTACACCAGACGCCTGAACGGCAGGTCTATTGAGGACCTCCATTGAGCTCGTTCGGACGGAATAAGATACTCAAGCAACGAACAGTAGCGATCGCATCGCACGAAATCGCTGTTTGATGAAAAGAAGATCTACTTCTTCACGCCTGGTCTACAATCCTCGAGGGTAACGGCATGATGTCTGGAAGGATACACGCCGCAGTAATGGGAACAGACGATCGTCGGATAGTAAAAAGGAGAATAGCCAACTATGAAAGAGGATCAGGCAACTATGAAACCATGTGTATCACTGTCCGGGTGCTTGATGCGACAGAGCAAGAAACGATTCGACAGAATCTAGGAGGTTCTGAGAATGAGAGTTCGCAGGTTAGGAGCCATGTGCATTGGGATGGGTACGGCAGCTTCATGGTTACGCTATTCCTCGTATTGCTGTAAGAAACTTTCACCGTACTGGAACACACGGCAACTCTCGGTAACATATAAAACCAGGTCTTACCCATCTCGAAATTGAGCTCTTCAGTGTTTTTCTATTGACCTGTACAACCAACCCTCCTTGGGAATTGGGTAGGATTTTCACCACAGGCAGCACGCAAACGAAATTTGGATTTTTCCAAAACGAGGATAGATGAACACACAAATTTGGATTTGAAGTGTGAATCTCTAAGGCAGCACAACAGCTCGCCAGAGTTCCAGCTTCAACTGTGAGATCCATACCACGAGGCCCATGACAGCAGTCCACGCGTGGATCGGTCCAATTTCGTAACAGACGTCTGATCCGATCTTGTCGGAATCCAACCCGAGTTTATTACAGGCGGAATTGATCACCATCATGATGAACCATCCGTCGCGCGTGTCGTCCGCGACGTCTTAGGCTTCAGACTTCAGAGTCGCTGCTTAGAATTATCAAACATGTTGAACCATCCGTCGCGCGTGTCGTCGGCGACGGCGTGGACTCTCAACGTGGTCAGCTCGGTGGCCATAATTCTCGTCAACAAGCAAGTCATGACCGGATACTCCTTCGTCTACGGTCAGTAGCATCACTGTTATTAGTCACCGTCATTAGTGCTCATTCATTCAGGCCCGTCGTTCGCGTTTGCTTTCCGCCGCCACGCACCCTTCCAGACTTTCCTCCTACGTTCCCCCTCCTCCCACTCCTCCCGCCTCGTTCCCCCACCGCCCTCCATTTCTCCCTTCTCCCCCCCCATCCCAGCCACCACGCTGAGCGGCCTGCATCTCTCCTTCGCCACTCTCGCCGGGCTGCTCTGCCTCTGCCTCGCGCGCTTCCTCCCTCCCTCCTCCCCCTCCCCTTCCCTTTCCTCCCCCGCACCCCTCTCTCCCTCCGCCTCTCTGATCCCCCCTTCCGCCGCGCCTCCCCCTGCCCCGGTCCCCACGCTGCCCGCGTGGGAGGTGGGGCGCTTCACGCTGCTGTCCAACGTGTGTGTCGTCACCACCAACTTCGCCCTCCTCGCCAACTCCGTGGGGTTCTACCAGGTGCGCAACACCCGCAATACCCTCACTGATATGTCCTTTGAGGCACCTTGAAGGGAGGTGGGTCACTTCGTGCCGCTCCCTAATGCGTGTGTCGTCACCACCAGCTTCGCCCTCCTCGCCAATTCTGTCGGCTTCTACCAGGTGCACGCCGCACGCACTCAAGCTACTATGCCTTTTTGAGGCCCCTCAACAGTAACACGCCCACTTAATCTACTGTACCTTCACCGATGTATGCAGTGCAATGAAGCAGATTCACCGGCTCATCATTGACTGAACGACCCTTTCACCCCCCTCCACTGGCCACCAGATCAGCCGTCTGGCGATCATCCCTTTAACCTGCGCGTTTGAGGCGCTGCTACACGGCAAGGCCTACTCGCCCCCCACGCTGGCAGCGGTGCTGGTGGTGCTGGTGGGAGTGGGTGTGTGCACGGTCACTGACGTCACCGTCAGCACGTTCGGACTCGTCACCGCCGCTGCTGGCGCTGTCTCCACATCCCTGCAACAGATTGTGAGTGTAGGTACAGAAAATTATTGGCGTTTCTGATTAGAGCAGTGGTAAGAGAGCTTGTGGGAGAAGAGAGCGGTGGGATGGCAGCAGCTCTCTGAGCTCTGGCTGACTGCTGGCTAGTGGGACAAGTCAAAGGTCACATGCCTGTCGCTGTTGCTCATTGTGCATTGGCTAGTTTGCTTTCTTTTCCTTCCATACGCATTTTTCCCTTCTGCCGTCCCTGCTGTCTCTGTCTTTCTCCCTGCCCTCCCACCCCCTCCCCACCATGCAGTCAGTGGGAGAGTTGCAACAGCGCTATGCCCTGGGCTCATTCGACCTGCTCATTCAGACCTCTCCCCTGCAAGCAAAGTGACTTTTGTTAAGACCTCAAAGTCACTTCTCTCCCTGCCATCCCTCCCATTGCTCCACCCTTTCCCTATGGTGCAGTCAGTGGGCGAGTTACAGCAGCGCTATGCCTTGGGCTCCTTCGACCTGCTCATTCAGACCGCCCCTCTGCAAGCAGCCTCGCTGCTGCTGCTGGGACCCGCTGTGGACTACCTCCTTACAGGCTACAACGTCATTCACTACACCCTGACTGCTGATGCCACTGTAGGTGCTGCTACAACCTGTCTTAAATCAAACTGTATTCCCCAGTAGGCAGCACGTATCAGCTCGATTTCCATCCAGATTCCGTTTTCACACTAAGCTTCCTAACCTACTGCTGTAGATCGCCCACTAAGGCCCAGCTACCTTCTCACCTTTCCCCGTCATCCCTCTCTTCCCCCCTCTTCCTCCGCACACCACACCACCAGGCCTGGATTCTCCTCTCCTGCATGCGCGCCCACGTCACCACAGCCAGTGTCTACCTCTGAGCTGGTTTTTGAGCGCCTGAGTAATCCTTGCTTCCCCATCCCCCACTGCACACCACCACCACCAGGCGTGGATTCTCCTCTCCTGCATCCTCGCCCTCCTCACCACAGTCAGCGTCTACCTCTGCATAGGAAAGTTCTCTGCGGTTTCATTCCAGGTCCTAGGCCACATGAAGACCCTAGCCATACTCCTTCTAGGCTGGGCGGTCTTTAAAGACCCCCTTAGTCTTAAGACGCTCCTAGGGATGCTCCTGGCTGTGGCTGGGATGGTGCTGTATAGCTGGGCCGTGGAGAGGGAGAGGAGGGCGAGGGAAAGTGAGGGGAAGGATGAAGAGGAGGGCTTTGGAGGGACAAGTGATGGGGTTGCAGCAGCAGGGGTGATAACACCAGGGGCAACAGCAGCAAGGGCTGTTGGTGAAAGCGTAGATGCAGCAAGTTTAAACGAGACTACACCTCTCCTACAAGCGGGACAGGCCAGTAAATATGGTTCTGGCATAAATAATGGTGGCCTGACCATGAGCACTGGTGGTAGGAGTAATATAGCTAGTGTAGGATAATAGTGTTGTACCAGCAGCTCTCAGTGTACAAAAGCTTTTCTTAGTACATCACTAGTCAATCAATCAGGACAGAGCACACCGACATGCTCTTATCAAGTATAGTAACCCCTCTGTCCCACATCCTGGCAGCAATGCCCTTCGCAGACTTGTCCACCACATGCAGGTTCTTCATGTTCAACCAAAACCACCAGGCTTATGATTGAAATATGGTTTGGTTCATATTTCAGCGGTGCATACGGTAGCCGTTGTGCTACAATGACCCCTCTTTCCCACATCATGGCAGCCAGCACCTCGGCCAGTTTGACCGCATCTGCCATAGAGCTCTGTTGGTCTTGCTTTCCAGATTTCAACACACTATTATAAGAATGGTTTAGTGTACTGTAACAATTGTTGTGTAGTAACCCCTCGCTCCCACATGGCAGCAGCCAGCACCTCGGCCAGTTTGTCCACATCTGCCATGGCTCGGTGGGCCAGGTCCGGGTGGGCAAAGGGCGTGGAGCAGTGGAAGTGCTTTGAGAAGAGGAATCCCAGCGCCTTGCTTGCTGGCTTGCGATCCGTGTCTGATGGGGAAACGGGAGAGAGAGGCCATGTAAGAGATGGTAGGGGAGTGGGGGAAGCAGTGCAAAGGAAGGGGTGAAGAAGGGGCGTGGAGCAGCGAAGGCGTGTTGAGAAAAGGAATTTCAGCCCCTTGCTCGCTGGCTTGCGGTGCGAGTCTCGCCGAAGAGAAGTGGGAGAGATATGCAAGAAGGAAGCAGCGCACCTTTGAAGAGCCTTTGCACGAGGCGCATGGAGTCGAGGGAGTGTCAGCCGGGCAGCACTGGGATGTTACCGCGCTGCAGCTCAAAACACACCCTAAAGCGCACCTTTGAACAGCCTCTGCACGAGGCGCATGGAGTCGAGGGAGTACCAACCCGGAGGAACAGCAATCCCCACCCGCTGCAGCTCATTGCGCAGCAGAGGGAAGTCAAACGACCAGCCATTATGCGCCACTAGCACCACCGGAGGGAGCAGGGGGGCAGCAGAGGAGACAGCACTCATCTCTGCACTCATAATCCCCATGCGCATCCCTGCACCCCTCTCGGTGTTGACGTAGATGCCAGTGGTAGCACTGCTGTGTACGGAGACTGCTGCCTGTTCTGCCTGCACCGCCCGCCTGGCCTCCACAAAGTCCACCAGCAGCCGCCCGGCTTCTCGCCAGCTGAGGTGATTCGATTCGTGTGACGAGGGAGAAACAAAGTCAGGAGCGAGGGAGATGTGGGGCGCAGAGAGAATGGAGGAATGAATGAGTGACAGTAAGGGTCGTTTGAGACGCCTCATAAGGTCTTTCGCGGCACCTCTGAGAATATGTACAGGTGGATGAGTGAGAGTCAAGGTTTGGAGATGGGTGTGAGTGAGCGCCCGTGAATGCACCTGACGGACACTGCATTACTCACTGCTGAAGGCAGGCATGCACCTCCCAGTCACCACTGACGTAGGGGCGGGCGGGTGGGCATGCTCATGCTCATGCTCATGCTCATGCTCATGCGGAGGCCAGGCAAGGGAGCTCCCGGCACTCACAATGGGCACTCACTGGGGCACGGACGGGCGGTTGACCATGCGCATGCTGATCCCATGCACCCTCTCCGCGTCGGCAGAAATGACCCGCGGGAACGGGTTCACCAGCGTGTGCAGCGCTGCCCCCCGGCCCCCCGCCACGTCCCTCAGCGCCAGCTCCACTATGCGGTTCTGCGTGGTGCCCTGCCCGGTCGTCTCAAAGTCCAGCAGAATCACCACTGGCGGCGGGCCGTCCTCGTTATAAGCATCCTCGGCAGCTTGCTCTGGCTCCCCGGGGTCTTTCTCCTTGTCGTGTTTTGGCTTCCCTCGTCGCCGTTGGCTTGGTCGTGCCGCTGCCGCCGCTGCCCCTACTGCTGCTTCTGATTCCTCTGCTTTTGCCACTACTTCTACAGTTGAGTTTTTTCTTGATACTGCCACTCTCCCTACAGTCACCCTCTTTGTTATCACCGTTTCCTCTGCCGCTCTCCACGCTCTCACACCCACTTGTATCACATTCCCTTCTCTCACATTCCCTTCTTTCACACTCCCTTTCTTCCCTCTCCCTTTTCTTACAATCCCTCCTCTCGCACTCCCTCTCGCACTCACTACAGTCACACCTGGCTTTATCCCTGCAGGTACATGAATCCCCATCCGCATGCTCCGCCGCAGCCTGCCGACATCCATTACAGTCACACCATGCGACGTCCCAACAGCCGTCACGCCGTTTAAAGCCCCGATTGCGACAGTCGGCCGGAAGAGGCACGCGAGGGCGACAGGGAGGCGGAATCGCCTGGGAGAGATGGCTCGCTCAGCCCACCCGTCGGGAAAAGGTCGCTCCTCTGGCAAGAACCGTCGGGGAGAGGTGGCTGGCTCAGGCCGATGATTCAGTCGACTGAAAAGCTCAGGCGAGTGTAAGCAGCGGAGGGAGGGGCAGAGCGGGGAGCGGAGCAGGGGACGGGGCGGCTGGGGAGAATGGGGAGCGAGCGGGGGAGGGAAAGGGAGAGCGAGCGGTAGGCGGCGTGGAAGGCGGAAGGGACGGCGGAGAGAATGCGCGAGGAGCATCCGATTGGGTCCCGGGGGGTTGCAGACAGAGAGCAACGGAAATGCGGTGACTTGTGCGTCGACTCAGGGAGCGGCGGAATCGCAAATGAAAAGCAGCGACGATGCGACGTGCCACGGTTGTCGGCCTAGGTCGACGCGACACCGACGGGAGCGTCGCACAGCCTGTCGCTCGGGGAGAAGCTACGCTGGTTGCGGTCGTCCGTTGCGATCTCTGGGAGCAGATCAGGACATGGCTTGTGATTGATCAATGCGGCGCGATGCACTGCTGCGGCTGGAGTATACAGAGAGTGGGTGGGGCGAATGTGCCTCGCTAATCAGCAACAGTCGATGGCCCGTTATTAGGACGCGTCACAATTGCAACACCGATCCTGTGAAACATCGGTGTGCACAATCTACAGTGTCTTCGCCATTTCGCGGAAGCCAGGTATCCCGTTTTCGTTTATCCAGTTGCGGCAATCTTGTACCTGCAGATTGTCAAGGTCGGATAGCTCAAACTGCCACATCGATCGTGCGATTTGACAGCGCGGGAATCGAAATCACGCCACCAGTTCTAGCCACGATCGATCGCCGCTGCATACTGTCGGAAACTTTCGTTGTGGTAACTTCGTACCCTGCTTTGTCGCCATCAATTGGGCAAGCAGCTTGCTATTTCTAGCTCGTCACAAGCCATGCGAAACTGTGCGACTCGCACGGCTCCTGCGCTAGCAGCTGGGTGTACAGTTGCAAACCCGATGTCGTCCCACTTGGCTCGGGGAAGCAGCCAAAACTGCTCCTGCAGATTGAAACAAGTTTTTTCGCAAGTCGATGCACACATTCTCGGTGTTTGGTGCCGATCTCCCCTGGTGTTGCAATTGTGACGCGTCCTTATGGGGTGGGTTTGTTGCGACTGGAGCATGTATGGGATGAGCCAAGTTCATGCCTTAGTGTTACACTTGTGTCCATTCCATGTTACAATGAAGTGAAAGTGTAAGAGAGGCTATAGGAATTCTGTAGATGGATCTGGACAGTGACAATCTTTCAATGGATACTGGTGCACGTCTCCAGAAAAAAAATTCTGCATAGCTAACAGCAGGTTTGGCATTGGTGGGAACACTGCTGTCATTAGTGCAAGCGGCTTTTAAGTCAAGGACAAAAGAGTCTTAACGGCGAGAGGTGCTGGCAGCAGTTCTGCGCTTGGATGATGCCCGCTGCTCCTCCTCCCTCTCCTCCTTCCTTGTCTGCCCAGCACATGCAGCAACACAGAGCAAGCGAAGCATAGACACAGCATGACATGGCACAGCACAAGACAGCACGGCACGGCACAGCATAGCATGAGAGATGATGAGCTGATGGGAGGGGTGGGAGTGAGCAAGTGAGGGTGCATCAGCAATAAGCACTGGACTAAGGCAGCTCAGGCGACACGACACGTCATGCTGATGAGGAGGGCAGCCTGAGATGACTGGATGGCATGGCATGGCATGGCATGCACACTCCAGGCAGCTACTGATATGGAGTTTGAAGAGGATGCGCACGAAGACAGCGACAAAGTCAAGCATCAGCTCGAGCGCATCAGCCATGTGGTGGCAGTGGCGGGACAGGATGGGGTGTGTGTGGTATACTACCGCATCCAGGCAGTGACCAGGTGTGGTGGAAGTGTGGTGGATGGCACATAGGTTGCAGACGCAGACTCACCAGGATGAAGCGGATGCGGACAAAGACAGCGTCACAGCGACAAAGCCCGACAGCAGCTCCAGCTTCTCCCCCTCTCCCACGTCGTCCCCGTGGCAGGTGCAGCGTAGGATGTGGTGCCGACGGGATGGGGTGTGGTGTGGTGTGGTGTGGTGTGGTGTGGTGTGGCTAACAAAGGTGGTTGGTTACAGTCTTACCAGAATGAAGAGGATGCGCACGAAGACAGCGACAAAGTCGAGCAGCAGCTCGAGAGCGTCCACAACGTGGTCGCACTGGCCCTGCCTCGCCCTCTCCAGCAGCACCTGCGTGTCGTAGATGATGTAGCCTGAGAAGACCAGGAGGCCTCCATACAGCTGGTGGGGTAAAAGAGACAGACGGGGAGAGGAGATGGGACGAGGATATTAGTGGAGAAAGCAGTCACACCGGCTCTCTTCACCAGCACCTGTGTGTCGTATATGATGTATCTAGCGAACGCCAGGAGGTCGCTGCACAGCTGTGCAAAAGAGGAGGTGGAAGAGGGCGTGGGAGAAGCAGTGAGATGGAGTGGCAAGGGAGCAAATTGAGCAGCCACACTGGCCCTCAGCAACACCTGCGTGCCATGAATGCATGCCAACACCACCAACAGACCCCCGCACAGGGCGACGTCCCAGGTGTGCTCAGAGCTAGAGGAAAGGGCTCGTTACACAATAGCCTCGACCTGCTTTTGAGTCGACTCAAAAGGGCTCGTTACACAATAGCCTCGACCTGCTTTTGAGTCGACTCAAAAGGGCTCGTTACACAATAGCCTCGACCTGCTTTTGAGTCGACTCAAAAGGGCTCGTTACACAATAGCCTCGACCTGCTTTTGAGTCGACTCAAAAGGGCTCGTTACACAATAGCCTCGACCTGCTTTTGAGTCGACTCAAAAGGGCTCGTTACACAATAGCCTCGACCTGCTTTTGAGTCGACTCAAAAGGGCTCGTTACACAATAGCCTCGACCTGCTTTTGAGTCGACTCAAAAGGGCTCGTTACACAATAGCCTCGACCTGCTTTTGAGTCGACTCAAAAGGGCTCGTTACACAATAGCCTCGACCTGAAAGACAACATCAGAGGCGCTGAAGATGAAGGCGGCGAGGCGCAGTGCGAGCATGGCGGAGAGGGCGGAGGGGAGTGGCAAGGCACAGGCAACGAATTCACAGAGCAGAGACCACATTGCACTCACACACGCAACTGACACACGTACCTCAATCTGGAAAACAGCATTGGAGCCACCGAAGAAGATAGAGGCGAGGCGCAGGGCGAGCATGGTGGATACGGCAGAGGCGAGGAAGCCCCCCAGGTACAGGTACTCCCTGCGCCGTGCGAGCAGCGCCACACCTCACTCACACACACACCTCACACACACACCTCACACATATACCTCGATCTGAAAGACAGCGTTAGAGCCGCCAAAGAAGATGGAAGCAAGGCGCAGGGCGAGCATGGTGGAGACGGCAGAGGCAAGGAATCCTCCCAGGTAGAGGTACTCCCTGCGCTTAGCCAGCAGTGCTGCTCCTGAGAAGCACAGGAAGATGGCTGCTGTTGCGACGAACGCTGTGACTAGCAGACTGGGGGGGAAGGAGGGAGAAGAAGAGAGGGAGACAGGGGGGGTTGTGAGAGGGGGTGAGGGTGAGAGGTCGGGAGTAGGCAGAGCTGAGTGACTGAGTACAGGGAGAGAAAGCCCCCCAAGAAAAGGTACTCCGAGCAGCGCTGCCCCTGAGAAGCACAGGAAGATGGCTGCTGGTGCAATGCTGCTACTAGCAGACTGGACGGGGAGGGAGGCAGGGAGGGGGGGACGGGGCGGGAGAGAGAGGTTAGGAGCAGGAACGACAAGCATGGGTGATGTGCGGCGGAGAGTGCACGGGTGGGAGAATGCGAGGATGGGAGGGGGACGGGGGAGACGATGCGAGGAGGAAGAGAGAGTGGGAGGAGAGCGATGCCGGAGAGCGCAAATGGAGAGATGGAGAGCAAAGGAGTGAATCGAAGAGCATGCAGGCAGCGCGGAAGGAGACAGAGGGAGGAGGACGAGATGGGGGCTGGGGTGGAACGGGCAGACAGAAAACGAGAGAAGAAAACCGCGCGTACGGTTGACCTGACTACTTCATTCACAGTTGCCCTGGGCTAGCCTAATAAGTGGGTGATCCTCCGCTTGACAAGTCTGAAGTTAACCTAAAGCTCTCCTACCCATGGTTGACCTAAGGCTGCCATAACCGGGGACCTACCCGGGGTTGACCTCTTAAGGATGCCATATCCGGGGACCTACCCGGGGTTGATTTGAATAACAGCATCGACGAGCGGGCCGATGGAGCAGCCGTGCGAGAAGGCGATGGCGAGAAGCAGGCGAAAGCGAAACGACTGGCGAAAGATTCGCGAGGACGCGGCAACGCGTGGGAAGGGAGAGACGGGGAAAAAGTGGGAAGTGGTTTTACGAGAAGGTAGGACGAAGAACGGGGTTTCTGAAGAGAAAAACGGTCGGCTACACATCGAAAGACTTCGTCGCTTCGCTTACATTGCGGAGGTCATGAGAACATCGCCTAAAAAATATACTAAACGTACGCCTACGGACGCGAAAGAATGTTAGAACTGCTGGCACACAGCTTTGGAGGAAGAATACTAGCGAAAGAGGAGACTCGCAGACGAGGAGAGGAGGAGGCGGAGAGGAGGCGCACCTCGTTAGCGGGAACGGCGGGGGTGGCATTGAGCCAGAGCACGCCCGCGATGGACGCTATCGACTAGTAGAGCTAGTATTATACAGCAAAGGAGGGAGAATACTAGCGGACGAGGATAGTATCAGGCCGCGAGGAGGCGCACCTCGTTAGCGGGAACGGCGGGAGTGGCGTTGAGCCAAAGCACGCCCGCGATGGACGCTATCGACGAGAGCGCGCCGCCGAGCCCCCACAGCACGTGCGCGTACGCGCCTAGCGACGCGACGACCAGCGTCAGCGAGAGCGTCAGGTAGACCTTCTGCAGATGTGACTGTATCGAGGGGGTGAGCGCGGAGAAGTTCTTCAGCGCGTCGAAGTTGAATGACTGCGAGTCGCCGAAACGGGAGAAAGGGGACGAGCCCCGCGATGCTGTAGCCGCCATGACGGAGGTATGGCAGATGATGGCACGCGATGCAAAGAGCGGTGAGGGAGGAAAGCGGTGCAGCGAGAAGGATGGTACAAGTATCCGCAAGTTACGTTGCTAGTTTCGGGAGCAGAACGCGGAGAGCGAAGCAGAAAATGTATTGCTGGATCTATGAGAGAGCCTTGAGCAGGAATTTGTGCCGTGGTTCTTCCAAGAGCCTTGAGAAATTTCTAGGCGTCTCCAAGATCATTGTTAAAGCGTCGGTGCCGCATAAACAGCAATGGGTTTGGTCCGGTTTGACTAGTTCTTTCTTGCCTGTCTATGTGCTTCGCCCACCAAGAGGTGAAAAAATCTGCCTGCCACGTGGAACCTTCAAGAAAGTGCTGGAGCGGCGAAGGTATGTTACTGGAGCGTCGTGTTTTACGTTCTAAAAAGATGAATCAAAGTAAGAGTGCCTCAAACTTGCATTTGATAAAAAAGGACTCCCAGTGGTTTTACCAAAAATGTTTGACAGCCGTGCCGTTATCACTCGAGAGCAACCCGCCTCATCTTGGCAACCAGGCGGGCAGCGGTGGCATCCAGCGACCCTCCAGCACCACTCTCATGTGCGATAAACTCCGCCAGGCTTGCCTTGGGCGTGGCAAAGCACGCTTGGAAGGTCGCGATAGCAGGCGATGCAGCCACATAAAGCACCGACAGTACACTGCATAGATACTCTATGTCTGCTGCTAACTGCTGTGCCCCCCGGTCCGACACCTCGGGAATTGCCCGAATTTGCTCCACGAATAGCGACGTCGCGCCGTCCGCAACCTTTGTCATCCACTCACGGACGAAATATGCTCCTGCGTCCTCCTCCCCTGCTGCGGTCGGCGTCGCGGATTCCCCGCCCGCCGACGCGCCGCTTGCCGAGGCTTGCAGGAGCAGGCTCGGGGCAGCTTCGGAGGCAGCGACGGCGAGAGGCTCGAGTTGCTGGGGGAGAGTGAGGAGGTATTCTCCCACGGCTGTGATGTATGGTAGAGCGTACGCGTTGAAGGCCGGTAGGTCAAACACATTCTCCTCCTCGCCCAATGCCCAGTCCGGCATCGTGGATACCCCCGCCAGCTGCCGCCGCACCTGCAAGGTGGGGGCGCGAGATGCACGGGGATGGATATAAGAAAAGGGGGAACGAGGCAAGCGAGGAAGTAGGCGATGAGACGAGTGCAGGGAGGAGTGTTGCAGCAGCATGGAAGAACACAATTGTCAAGAGGAAGGAAAGCGAGGAAAGGGAAGAAAATGAAGAGAGCAAAGAAACTGAGGGAAATGGGGAGATTGCGGGTAGCAGGGAGAGTGAGGGTAGCGGGGCGAGTGAGGGGAGTGGGGAGAGCCAGCGGGTGAGCGAGAGCGCAGAGGAATGATCGCATCCTTTGCGGTCATTGGACGATGTGCTCATAGGAGAGCCAATGAGCATTGAGCACATCGTGCACCAGCAATGAGGGAGGAGAGAGCGAGGGAGGGGAGGAGGGTGTGGAGGGTGAGGAGAGAAAGTGGGGGCGAGCAAAGACAAAGATGATAGAGAGTGGGGTAAGGGGGGAAGGGGAGTTGGTCTTTTGGGAATTCTCACAAGTTCAATCAAGGGAGTTGGTCTTTTGGGAATTCTCACAAGTTCAATCAAGGGAGCTGGTGGGGGGCGGGGATGGTCGCACCTTGGCAATGAGCACGTCGTACACCAATGATGACACCGCTTCCTGGAAGCTTCTCACTCGCTGCGCCGTGCGCGGGAGCGCGTGGATGCGCGGGTCCCTCAACTCGTCCAGCAGCCTGATGAGGGCAGGTGCACAACCAGTGGGGGGGAGGGGGGAGGGGGGAACGGGGGGAGGGAAAGAGAGGGCAAGCAACGGTTATGGAGCCAGGCCCGAATGACCACATGGTAATTTTGGTGCTGTATTGAAAGCACATTCAAGCCTTGCACTGCTTTCACCACATGGCCCACCATCCCTTCACCCCATGGCCCACCATCCCTTCACCACATGGCCCACCATCCCTTCACCACATGGCCCACCATCCCTTCACCACATGGCCCACCATCCCTTCACCACATGGCCCACCATCCCTTCACCACATGGCCCACCATCCCTTCACCACATGGCCCACCATCCCTTCACCACATGGCCCACCATCCCTTCACCCCATGGCCCACCATCCCTTCACCACATGGCCCACCATCCCTTCACCCCATGGTCTACCATCCCTTCACCCCATGGCCCACCATCCCTTCACCCCATGGCCCACCATCCCTTCACCACATGGCCCACCATCCCTTCACCACATGGCCCACCATCCCTTCACCACATGGCCCACCATCCCTTCACCACATGGCCCACCATCCCTTCACCACATGGCCCACCATCCCTTCACCACATGGCCCACCATCCCTTCACCACATGGCCCACCATCCCTTCACCCCATGGCCCACCATTCCTTCACCACATGGCCCACCATCCCTTCACCACATGGCCCACCATCCCTTCACCACATGGCCCACCATCCCTTCACCCTATGGCCCACCATCCCTTCACCACATGGCCCACCATCCCTTCACCACATGGCCCACCATCCCTTCACCACATGGCCCACCATCCCTTCACCACATGGCCCACCATCCCTTCACCACATGGCCCACCATCCCTTCACCACATGGCCCACCATCCCTTCACCCCATCACGCTGCACCTGGCGAGGCGCTGGGCCTTGTCGGGATACTCCGCCAGTCTCAGCACCGCCACATCCACCTCACTCCCCTCCACTCCCACCCGCTACTCACTCTCGCCTCACCTTCACCCATCACCTGCATCCATACCTCTCCACCCCCTAGCTTTGCACCTGGCGAGGCGCTGAGCCTTGTCGGGATACTCCGCCAGTCGCAGCACAGCCACATCCACCTCACTCCCCTCTGCTCCCCCTCCAGCTCCCACTCCGCCTCCCCCTGCGCCTCCGCCTCCCCCTGCGCCTCCCCCTCCCCCTGCGCCACCCACCGACCCCACCCGCTTCACCTCCCCTCCTGCGGATTCCCCTCCCCCTTCCCCTGCGCCATCCCCCCCAGCATCCAGCCCCAGGCGGGGGGAGAGCTGGGTGAGGGCGCTGCGGAGGGAGGCTTCAAACACTGCCACGCGCACTGCCACACTCTCTGCCACCATCAGCAGTTGCAGCGCTCCCTGCACCACTGCCCACTCCTCCTCCTCCTCCACCCCCCCTGCTCCACCTCCCCCGTACCCCGCCGGGTCTGGTAGACTAGCTAACGGATCGTCTGAGACTGGATTGGTTCGGTCCGAGCCTGGACCGGAGGCTCGGGTTGGGGCGGAGGGAGTGGCGGAGGAAGGAGGGGTGGGAGGGGCGGGAGGGGAGAGGCCGCAGATGGGGGGGAGGGATTGGAGGCAGGAGGAGAGGCGGGAGAGGAAGAGGAGGATGGAGTGGTCAAGAGCGGTGAGGAGAGCTGCTGCCTCTGAGCCCCCTGTGAAGGCAAGACAGCGCTCCACTGCTGCTTCCAGTGCTGCCATGGCTGCTGGAATGGCCGCCTGGTGGGGGAAGGGCGAGGGGGGCGTGGGGCGGGTAAGAAAGAGGGGACGTAGAGGAGGAGTGAGTGGTTGAGAGCGGTGAGCAACACTGCTGAGCCCCCTGTGAAGGCAAGACAGCGCTCCACTGCTGCTTCCAGTGCTGCCATAGCTGCTGGGATGGCCGCCTGGTGAGGGGGGTGAATGAAGAGTGGAGGAAAGGGGTAGAGGACAGGAGAGGGAGAGGTGATGGGATGATTAAGCATGCAGAATGGGATGGGTGGTAGAGGTGGTACAGGAAAGAGGAGCGTGGTAGCAAAATACGAAAAGGCCAGCTCCAGACCACCTCCAGACCACCTCCCAGGAACATATTAGGCATACTGAGAACTCCAAAAGATTCCAAGAGATTATTCCAGCACACTGACATGCACCGCACAGCACCACCTCTCACCTCCATGCGCCGCACAGCATCTGCCAGCACGAGCCCACGCTGCCCCACTTGCTTCACTGCGCCGCCCGGTCTGAGATCTATGCCGCCCAGATCCGCCGCCAGCTGTGCACGCTCATAGTCCCCGTAGCGCTGCTTGAAGGGCTCCAAGGGCCGGAACACCGCCCACACCACTGCTCCCACACTCACTGGCCCCTCTCCCTCCTGATCCCCCTCCTCCTCCCTGCCCTTGCTCTTGCTGCTTTTCTCTCCTCCTGCCGCTCCTCCTCCTGCGGCGGCGGCTCCTTGGGTGCTTTTTTCAGAGGAAGATGGTTTAGTGGCATCGGGGGGGGTGGAGGAAGGAAGGGAGGCGAGGAGGCGGGAGAGGTTGCGCGCGAAGGTGGTGGTGGTGGCGTGTAGGGCGAGTAGCAGGGCCAGGCGCGTAGAAGGTCTGGTCTGGGATGCTGCAGACAGAGGCGAGAAGGCAGAGCAGAAGATGAAAAAAAGGAGGGCAACGGGAGTGGTTCAGAGGAGAGGATGCATCCTCTCCTGACCATTGGAGGGCAAAGGTGGTGGTGGTGGCGTGTAGGGCGAGCAGGATGGGCAGACGGGTGGATGGTCGCCACTGGGACGCTGCAGGGCGAGGGAGGGAAGGCAGGTAGCAGAGGCCACAGCCTCCCTCCCTCTTTCCCCCTCTTTGCCTTCATTCTCCCCCACCCCCCAATTGACCTGCTTCACCCGCATCAGCAGCAGCAGCCGAGAGAGCAGCGAGGGCAGCATCAGACACAGCAGCATCGACGCGCGCAGTGAAGCTGGAGGCAAGCCCGCCCCACGTGGCCGTGAGCAGGTGGTATGGCACAACCCCCCCACCCCCTCGCTTCATGCTTTCCCACCCCCACCCTGCCTACCTGCATCAGCAGCAGCAAGAGCAGACAGCGCAGCATAAGACACAGCAGCATCGACGCGCGCAGTGAAGCTGGAGGCAAGCCCGCCCCACGTGGCCGTGAGCAGGTGGTATGGCACAACCCCCCCCCACCCCCTCGCTTCATGCTTTCCCACCCCCACCCTGCCTACCTGCATCAGCAGCAGCAAGAGCAGACAGCGCAGCGTCAGACACAGCAGCATCGACGCGCGCAGTGAAGCTGGAGGCAAGCCCGCCCCACGTGGCCGTGAGCAGGTGGTATGGCACAACCCCCCCCACCCCCTCGCTTCATGCTTTCCCACCCCCACCCTGCCTACCTGCATCAGCAGCAGCAAGAGCAGACAGCGCAGCGTCAGACACAGCAGCATCGACGCGCGCAGTGAAGCTGGAGGCGATCCCGCCCCACGTGGCCGTGAGCAGACGTAGCAGCAGAGGCGAGGCGTGGTGGGGGAAGGCTGCCACGCACCAGCGCGCCTCCTGCTCCACTGCCAGTAGCATCTCGTCATACCAGCGCGGTAACCACTCGGGGAACTGTAACGCTGCTGCCAAGGGACCTGGGGGAGGAGAGAGTGTCCAATGGGGTGGCACAGGAGAGAGGGAGCAAGGAATGAGTTATGGCTGCCACGCACCAGCGCGCCTCCCGCTCCACTGCGAGAAACATTTCGTCATACCAGCGCGATAACCACTCAGGGAACTGTAACGCTGCTGCCAAGGGACCTGCGGGACCGGAGGGGGAGGGCGGAGAAGGGAAGGGGAGATGAGATGAATTGATGAGATTATGATAGCGGAGGGGACTAGAATGAGGGATGGAAGAAAGCAGGAACAGGAGGGAGAGGAAATAGTTTGTGAGACAGCCCTCAAATCACAACCCCATATTAAGCATGTCCGTCAGTCCACCCCTCTGCCACTCTGCCCCTCTGCCACTCTGCCACTCTGCCACTCTGCCACTCTGCCACTCTGCCACCCTGCCACCCTGCCACTCTGCCACTCTGCCACTCTGCCCCTCTGCCCCTCTGCCACTCTGCCACTCTGCTACTCTGCCACTCTGCCCCTCTGCCACTCTGCCACACTGCCACTCTGCCACTCTGCCACTCTGCCACTCTGCCCCTCTGCCACTCTGCCACTCTGCCACTCTGCCACTCTGCCACTCTGTCCCTCTGCCACTCTGCCCCTCTGCCCCTCTGCCCCTCTGCCCCTCTGCCCCTCTGCCCGTCTGTCACTTCCCCCCCCTGCCCCCTACCAGCTCCTGGTGCCACAGCAGTGACTTCGAACTGCTCCCACAGGCGTGTGAGCGGGCGGCAGCGCACGAGGCAGAAGAGAGCTTCCACTGTGTGCTGCCGGCCAATCGCTGCAAGTATGCCTGTCAGCGAGCGACACGCGTCCAACTGGCATAGAAGGATGGGAAAAGGGGGCGGGTGGGAGAGAAAGAGGTGGTTGAGTTGGGGGCTAACAGGGCTAACACGAGGCAGAAGAGCACCTCCACTGTGTGTTGCCGCCCTATGCTGCCGCCCTATGCTGCTGCCCTATGGCCGCCAGGATGCCTGTGAGTGAGCGACACGCGTCCAACTGGTGCGGGTAGGTGGGTTGGATGGAAGAGAAAGGTGCTTGAGTTGGGGGCTAACAGGGCAGCGCACGAGGGGTGCAGGTTTGAGATGCAGGTTGGAGGTGCAGGTTGGAGGTGCAGGTTTGAGATGCAGGTTGGAGGTGCAGGTTGGAGGTGCAGGTTTGAGGTGCAGGTTGGAGGTGCAGGTTGGAGGTGCAGGTTTGAGGTGCAGGTTTGAGGTGCAGGTTTGAGGTGCAGGTTGGAGGTGCAGGTTTGAGGTGCAGGTTTGAGGTGCAGGTTGGAGGTGCAGGTTTGAGGTGCAGGTTTGAGGTGCAGGTTTGAGGTGCAGGTTGGAGGTGCAGGTTTGAGGTTTACCACTCGGCACTCCATGGTATCCCATGGTACCGCACCACACTGCACAACATTCCATGGTGCCATGGCTGTGAGCGAGTCACACGCCTCCAGCTGGCGTGGGGCCACGCACAATAAAGCAGAGGCTGAGCTGGGAGCGGCAGGCAGGGCGACTACGGGCGTGCCATTGCAGAGAAAACAAGGTTTGAGGGTACTAGGAAGGGGGCGAAGCAGTTGGATTCTTTGTGCTTCAGAAGTGGCAGAACGGAGGGGTACGACTTTTATAGGGAGTGAAAGAGGGACGGATAGGGATGAGTGAGCCTTTCAAGGTGCTTCAATCGTGGAGTGCGCGGGCCTTAGCAGTGCTCATAGTGATTACCCATCGTCCATTTTTGGGGATCATCTCACCTTGCTGTGAGTGAGCGCGTCTGACAGCCGCGGCTGCACCATCTGCTCCAACCGATCCTCCAGCGATTGAAGCTGCCTCTTGTTCGCTGCAAACTCCGGCGCCTGATGGACAGACGATTGAGAGGGGGATAGGGGAAGTGCCGAAGCGGTAGGCGCAGACGTGAGAGAGACAATGGCGGGGAGGACGAGAGAGGAGGGATGCGCAAGGCGAGCGGATGCATTGGACATGGACCGTGGGGCACGGGCATGGGGTATGCAGCAGAGGTCATGGGACATGGGGTACGGGGTGTTACAGGCCACAGGGACAGAAGCGGAGGCAGGTGCCAGGGGGGACTCACATCGCCCACCACCTCCAGGCAGCGCCGCATGTTGGCCAATGTCTCGGCGACACGTGGCAGGTCGCCACTGGCGAACACCTGCTCCACTGACGCGCTCAGCTGTGCCAAGCCTGCCGCGTACTGTGGTGGCAGAGGGAGTGAGGGGTGAGGAAAATGGAGAGAGGGAAGGGCGGGGGGGAGTGGAGAGGGTAAGGGGAGTGGGAGAAGAGGAAGCAGGAAATGGAGAGGGGGAAGGAGAATGGTGAAGGGGGTGGGGGAGGGGAAGGGGGGAAAGGCAAGGCAACCGTGAGTGAGGGAAGGGGGGGATGATGGAGAGGGACGATGGAAAGGGAATGGAGGTGGGGGGGGAGAAAGGGCCTGCTGCTCACCTGCAGCGTGTCTCTCGTTTCTGAGTCGACTCAAAATCAGACTCACCTGGAGGGTGTCTCTCGCCGCCTCCATCTGCTGCTTCACTGCATCCACCTTCGCCAGCACCGCCACGGATGCTGCTGACGTAGCCTCCACCTGATCCAGCTCAGCACAAGGAAAGACACGTACACACATGGGCACAAGTTTATATATATTCACATGCATGTATACTCGTGTATAAATCCCCACACAGCCCTGCAAACTCCCTCTCCCCCCCCCACTTCCTCCTCCAACCCCCTCTCTTACCCCCCTCTCCTACACTTCCTCCCCCTTCCCCCCTGATTCCCCCCCAACTTGCCTGCCGTTCCCCTCCTGCGCACACTACCCCCATCCCTCCCATCTCCTCCCCCCACCGGCTGCGGCGCTGCAGGATGCTGGGCGCAGTGCCTTGAAGATATTGCCCTCCCTGACCGCCCCTGCTCCTGCCTGTCCCACTTTCACCCCGTCCCCCCCCTCCCCTCCACTTCCCTCCCCCCCCCACCACCTCCTTTCCCCTTACCCCCACGCACCTGCTGCAGGCGCTGCAGGATGCTGGCAACAGTGCCTTTGAGCGACACGGCATCGTCGCGCACGCGCTTCGTCTCCCTCACGGCGCGCGGCACTCTCAGCAGCGCGCCCGCGCTCTGCTCCTCCAACGCGCCGCCCATGTCCTCTGCACGCGTGTAGCACACGCACAGCACACACGCAGCACACACGCAGCACACACGCAGCATATAGACGTGTGAACAAGTTGGTAGCAATGACGAAGCATGGGACCTACTCCCTCACAGCACGCGGCACCCTCAGCAGCGCGCCCGAAATTCCATGACCATTGCCAGGACAATCGTACCCGATAAGAGCTGCAGCTTCATTTCAATGTCCGCGAGAAACTTCTCCGGAGGTTCCTCCGGCGGGAGCGCGGCGCACGCATCGTTGACCCACGCCTTGGGGTCGAAATGCTCGTCCGCGAACGCGTTCAGATCCACCAGCATCGCGACCACACTGCGACTGCGAAGTCCGTTCACTCGCAGGGCCCGCCGAGAAAACAAGTTTGGTTTCAGCGGAAGTTCGTTTCTCTCGCAGCAAGAAAAGCACGGGCCGATAATGCCGATCAGTCACGAGCATCCGACAGGATTATACACGTATATGTGTAGACATGTATAGGTTCTGTCATCTGTGGTCGACGATCTGCTTATCATCAGCGCGCAATGTTCACGTGAGGCATGAATCCGCGCTCGAGTGTTCCTTCACCCTTCTTCCAGAGATGACTACTTTTAAGGGTCTCCGCTATCTCTATATGTCCTATAACCATGCTAAGTTTAGAACAAAGAGATTTCAGAGATGGGAGATGAGAGGCAGGAGAAAAGAATTCGGGAATGGAGACAGAGATGGGAGATGGGAGTTTTGGGAGAAAAGATGGAGAAGGGATTGCCATCAGTTTCTCCCCATTTTAGACCCCTCTTTGCAGTTAAATATTAATATACTGAAAATGATTTAGCAAAGTTTTTCGGAGAATTATATTTAAAATATCGATGAAACAGCATGATATGCACATATTATACAGAAGTCGTTAAATGGTTGCTCAACCTAGAAGTCCCATAAGGTGTTGCAGATTCTCAACATCAATAAAATCGATAATCAGTATCTGATAAGGAAGATATAGTGCAGCACCCGCCAACAGAGCCCACCAACCAACCTCGTTTGTACTGTGCAATCCTGCTCAATCACAATCCTTCCTCCTCCCCACATGGCTGCAGCAGCACTCGTGGAGTGGACTCATCATGGTCCGTCCTTGCTGGTGGCCTACTGGACTGATCTCACTCACTGCTGCTGCTGCTGCCTACTCAGTTCTCTGTCCGTCCGTACGCACGCAGGCAGCACCTGCTCTGAGGAGCACTGCTGCTTGTCTGCTGCTTGCTCTTGCATTGCTCCCAGCCTTATCAACACACTTCACTCTGCAGTCGTTTTTTTAACCAGGCATTTTACTGCAGTGAGCGAAAGAGAATGGAGGTAGAAACTGCTCGTTTCAAAATGGGCAGCTCTGGTGTCTTGTCGTCGTAATCCGAGGCTTCCCCCGCGTTGATAGGTCGACTCATCAGGACGCGCTTCCTCGCTCGCGCGCTAGGCTCATTCCCCTTCGGGGGCTGCACAACTTAACGGAGTAGCGTTCGAGCGAGCACGTAGTATCCCATTTGTCGGACGCGGCGCGTCTCGCGATTTTGTACATCTTATGAACAATGCCAGCCGCAGAGGGATAAACCGCACGGCGCGCATTGTCCACAGCACGTGGGGATGTATTGAGGCATGCGCTGAGGTCGGCCGGTCGCCGTAATGTAGGCATGTGATGCATCGAATCCGTTAAATGGAGTGGTAACCAGGTCGTTTCGTTCGTCGCATTGCAGTTTCAAGTCGCACACTGTCGCCCGCTCGACGCATTTTTGTTCCGAGTCGTCGCGGGACCGCTGCACGCGCAGACAGGAAAACCCCATGCGAGTCGCATTGATAGCTACATCCGCGAAGCTTTTCGCTGAAGGTCGCGCCGTGCGATGGCGTTTCGCCCGCCATCGTCGCACGGCCAGGGGCACGGCGGCGAGGTGAGGGGGCTTGGGGGGCGCGCGGAGAAGCCGGGCGGCGAGGGGAAGGTGCTCGGGCGCGCGGAGAAGTCGGGCGGAGAGGGGCGCAGCCATGGGCGCGCGGAGAAGCCGCCGACGAGCATGAAGGACGGCAGCTGGATCTCCGCGGACGCGCGCCAGCAGCAGCACGGCGCACCATGGAACGCGCAGGTGAGCGCTGCGCACCACGGCGCGCCTCGCGCCTCGCATTGAAAAGCCCTGAAGCTTCCCATGCCCCCACCTACCCCTCCCTTCTTCCCCCTACCTGATTCCTCTCCTATTCCGCCCTTCCTCCCGCCATCGCTTTGCCTTCGCCTCCGCGATGCATCACATTCCCGCGCCTCTCTCCCTAACCTCCCTCCCCCGCGCCTTTCGTCTCCGCGCCTCTCTCCGCCACTCGTTCCCCCCCATGCAGGCGGGGCGGGCACGGCGCCTGAAGCCGCGCGCGTGGCGAGCTGCGTTCGACGCGGAGGGGCGTCTCGTGCGCATGCCAGCCGTTCTGCGCGCTGTGCTGGACGGGGTGAGAATGGGGGGAAGCAGGGTGAGCGGGCGGGACAGTAGGAAGGCAAGGGCATCCCCCGTCTCGTGCGCATGCCCGCCGTGCTGCGCGCCATGCTGGACGGGGTGAGAGCGGGGGAGGGAGAGCGTGGGGGGAGCGGGCGGGACAGTAGGAAAGGCAAGGGGTGGGGGGGATCTGTCGGAAGGGCGTCCCCGTCTCGTGCGCAGCAGCAAGCAGCCGGTGCCAATGCCAACTGCTGTTTCCTTCCTACATGCTCTCCTCCTTTCTCTGTGCCTGGTGCGTGTTTGGGTGGTGCTTGCGTGGCGTGTGTCTGGCGTGTGCCTGGCGTGTGCCTGGTGCGTGCCTGGCATGTGTGTGGCACGTGCATGTGTGCATGTTGCATACAGGGGGTGGATCGGTCGATACGAGGCGAGGTGTGGGAGTTCCTGCTGGGGTGCTTCTCTCTCGACTCCACCGCTGAAGAGCGCAACTACGTGCGCGCTGCCCGCCGGTGAGTCACTGCCGCCCGCCAGTGAGTGCATGCTGCCCCACTCGCACACACTTGCACACAGTTATGAGACGTCACAAAACCCACATGGACACACCATGTCCCCCTCTACCTCTCTCCTGCAGCACACCATACACACAAGCGAACACTCCCCTTTCCCTCCCTTTACCATTTTCTCCCTGCTGCCAAACCCTAATTAGGGAGCGGTATGAGCAGCTGGTGCAGCAGTGCGCGCGCATGCACGGGCGGGTGGGCACCGGGCAGCCGTCACACACCTAAGCGAACACTCCCCTTTCCCTCCCTTTCCCACGTCCTCCCTGCTGCTAAACCCCAATCAGGGAGCGGTATGAGCAGCTGGTGCAGCAGTGTGCGCGCATGCACGGGCGCGTGGGCACGGGGCAGCTGGCCTTCCCCGTGGGCTCGCGCATCATGGACGTCCGCATCCTCACTGCCCGCGCCTCTCAGCCTCCTGCCGCCGCCGCCGCTGCGGATTCTACCGCTCCTGCTGCTGCCACTGCTGCCGCCGCTGCTGGTGGTGGTGCTGGCAGTGGTGTGGATGGCGGTGAGATGGGCGGCATTGGTAGGGACGGCAGGGGCGCAGAGGAGGGCAGCTTCAGGCAGAGCAGCGTTACAACAACGATGGTGACAGTGGCTGCTGGTGCCACCACCACAACTACCACCACCACCACCACTACCACAAGCACCACCACTGTCAGCAGCAGTACTACGGGCGTTCCGGGTAGCAGCACGAGCAGCAGCATTAGCAGACCGGGTAGTGGCAGCAGCAGCGGCAGAATTTCCACTCCCTCCACCACGGCCATCAGCAGCAGCCCCAGCGGCGTCACCAACTCCCTCACCAGCACCCCCACTCCCACCACCACCAGCAGCAACAGCGGCGGCGGCGGCACCAGCAGCAGCATCGTGCTGCCGCGGCCACGCAGCGGCTCCTCAAGCTCCACAGCAGACAAGTTCCCGCGCCAGTTCTCGGATAAGAGCGCCGGGAGTGGCAGCAACCCAACGTTTCGCATGGAACAGCTGATGGAGGAGGGCGGCCCGCGGCTGCACTCGTCTTCCTTCTCCTTCCCCCTCGACCTGCTTGACCTTGAAGACCCGAGGGCACTGCTTGGTGGTGGGGGGGGGGAGGAGGACGAGGAGGAGGATGATGAGGAGGATGATGAGGAGGGGGATGGGGAGGAGGAGGGGGAGGATGGGGAAGGGGGGGATGGGGAGAAGGAAAGGGAAGGGGGTGTGGGCATGGGACACGAAAAGAGGAAGGCGAAGGGGAGGAAAGGGGCGGAGGGCGGAGGATGGGGAGGGGGAGGTGAGGGGGCGGGAGGGAAGGAGAGGAAGGGGGGAATGGAAGAGATGAGGGCAAAGTGGGCGCGGGAGAGGCAGAGGCGGTATGAGAGGGTGGACCACTCACACCCTCCACATGCCAGGGCCAGCGGTGGCGGTGGCGGGAGAGGAGGGGGAGCAGGGAGGACTGGAGAAGGGTTTGGAGGAGCAGGGGCAGGAGGAGGAGGAGGAGGAGGAGGAGCAGTGGGAATGCGGGATGGCAGCAGCAGGTCTCAGCGCACACGCAGCACCGATGTGGGGCTGCTGACGGGGCGAGCAGTAGGAGCGGTGGGTGCAAACGCGCCTCTCACGCGCCCCCGAAGTGGTCGCACAGACGACCCCCTACCTGCACCCCCTGCTGCTGCGCCTTGTGCTGCTACTGTGGAGGGCTCGCTGTCAGGCACCACCGCCACCGCCACCGCCACCGCCACCGCCACCGCCACCGCCACCGCCACCGCCACCGCCACCGCCACCGCCACCGCCACCGCCACCGCCACACGCAGCACGCCAGCGGAGTGTGCCCGCTTAGCCGGTGCTGATCTCACAGGCGGTGGTGCTGATGGTGCTGGAAATGCAGATGGTGCAGCGGGGGCAGATGCAGCGGTGTGGCAAGCAGCAGCAGCAGGTGGGGAGGAGGGCGAGGGGAGCTGCCCGGACGATGGGGTGGGTGGGGAGGGGCAGCGGCGCAAAGGCAAGAAGAAATGGACCAGACTGTTGCCGGGCAAGGGGAAGGAAGGGAGGGAAGGGAAGGAGGGCAGGGAGGGCAAGGAGGGCAAGGAGGTAAAGGAGGGGAGAGAGGGGAGGGAGGGCAAGGAGGGGAGGGAGGGCAAAGAGGGAAAGGGACGGCTGCTGACAGGGGTTGGATCCGTTAGTGGCAACGCCCTGCTGGACCCAGACGTCCTCGTTATAGAGCAAGGAGGCGAGGTGGAGGAAGAGGAGGAGGGTGGGGGAATAGGCGCAGAGGAGGAGGGTTCTGCAGGGGGAGGAGGCGGAGGGGAAGGGGGGATGGGCGGGGGAGCAGGGGGGGAGGGCAAGGGGCCGTGGCAGAGGGGAGTGAAGAGTGTGAAGAAAGCACATAAGAAGCTGCGGGGGTACTTGGGTGCAGGGGAGAGCGCAGGGGGGGAGGAGGGGCATTTGGAAAGCGGGGACGGGGGTGAGGGGAGCGAGCGGGGGGCGAGGGCAGGGGGAGCAGCGCGGGAGGGGTTGGGTGCGGGGGGTGTGGGGGTTGGGGGGGTTGTGGGTGTGGGGAGAGCGGGAGTGGGTACGGGAGCGGGAGGGGGAGGACTCGGGGGGCTGGGAGGGGGGATGGGGGGGATTCAGAGGGGGTTGATGGCGGGGGGAAACCGGCTGAAGAAGGTGCTGAGTGCTGACTGGGGGGGTGTGTCTGTAGACGATCTGCTTGCTTCCATTCGCAACCCCACCCACTCCTCTGCCACCCCCGCCAGCAATCCCACCACTACCACTGCCAGCTCTGTCAGCGGTGTCAGCACTGCCACTGCCACTACCAACGCTGCCAGCACTGGCAGTGGTGGCAGCGGCAGCGGCAGCATTGCAAGTGCGGCTGGGATCCCAAAAGGGAATAGGATGGGGAGCGTTGCGGATGGTGGCAGTGCGAGCAGTGGCGGTGGTGTGTGGGAGGAGAGGCGAAGGGGAAAAGGGGAGGCGGGTGGAGAGCTGGGGAGTGTTTCGGAGCGGGTGGAGGGGGAGGGGGAGGAGGCGGAGGGGGAGGAGAGGGAGAGGGAGGAGGCAGAGTGGGAAGTGGCGGGTGCAGCGGAGTGGGAGGGGCGCAAGGCTGGTGCAGGGGAGGGGGGTCCGCACAGGAGGCAACAAGTTGGGGGGTCGGGGCGGAGAGAGGCCGGGTGGCAGTTAGAGGAGGAAGAGGAGGACGATGAGGGAGAGGAGCGGGAGAGGAGGGGGAAGGCGGAAGGCGGAGGAAGGAGTGGGGGAGGGGCGGAGGGCGGAGCAGGGGAGGGGCGGCGCAGAGGGGGGTCAGCAGCAGCGCCAGGGGATGGCTGGGGGCTTGGATTCGTGGGTGGTGGAGGAAGCTTCTGTGAAGGAGCAGCAGGTGCAGCAGCAAGAGAGGCAGACGGAGGTGAAGCAGAGAGGAGGGAACGGCGAGGGGAGGAGACGAAGAGAGAGGAGAGGAGGAAAGAGGAGGGGCGTGGAAGTGCTGTGCGGCAGGCAGAGGACGAAGAGGAGGAGGGGGAAGAGGGGGATGAGAGGAGCCCCTGTGCTGCAGGCAGGGCACTCAGTGCTGAGGGTGAGGGCGGGCAAAGGAGAGGAGTAGCAGCAGGAGGAGGAGGGGAGAGAGGGGGAGGAGGAGCAGCTGTGGAGAAAACTGGGCCGTTTGTGGGCAGTGCCAGGAGCGAGTGGAGCGAGGGGAGCGATGGGGCAGGGGGGGGGGAGAAGCGGGGGGGCAGCATCCTGCAGGCGTATGTGCGGCAGCGGTCGTTCAACGGCCGCAACCCCACCGCGGAGCAGGTGTGGTCGTGGATCCTGGGTCATGATGATGATGCCGATGCTGGCCGTGATGGTGGTGATGGGGATGCACGGGGCGATGGTGGTGCTGGCGATGGTGGTGGTGCTGGCGATGGTGATGGTAATGGAGGAGGCGATGGGGGCGTGGGGAAGGGTGGTGCGGGGGAGGGGGCGGGAAGGAAGGAGGGGGAAGGCAGGGAGGGGAAGGAGGGGGAGGAGGAAGAGGAGGGGGGTGATGCGCGGTTGACGGTCGATCCAGTGGTGGCAGAGCAGCTGGGGGTGACTCCTGAGAGGGTGGCAGAGTGGCTGTGGACGCTGCATAAGATATGTGAGTTTCAAACAAGGTGCACTCGTTAGTTGCTTTCTGTAAGCCCTCAGACCCATAGCTCTGCTGCCGAAACCTGATGGGGAAACTGATGGGGAAACTGATGGGGTGGGGAACCTGATGGGGTGGGGAACCTGATGGGGTGGGGAACCTGATGGGTGGGGGAACCTGATGGGGTGGGGAACCTGATGGGGTTGGGAACCTGATGGGGTGGGGAACCTGATGGGGTGGGGAACCTGATGGGGTGGGGAACCTGATGGGGTGGGGAACCTGATGGGGTGGGGAACCTGATGGGGTGGGGAGCCTGATGGGGTGGGGAACCTGATGGGGTGGGGAACCTGATGGGGTGGGGAACCTGATGGGGTGGGGAACCTGATGGGGTGGGGAACCTGATGGGGTGGGGAACCTGATGGGGTGGGGAACCTGATGGGGTGGGGAACCTGATGGGGTGGGGAACCTGATGGGGTGGGGAACCTGATGGGGTGGGGAACCTGATGGGGTGGGGAACCTGATGGGGTGGGGAACCTGATGGGGTGGGGAACCTGATGGGGTGGGGAACCTGATGGGGTGGGGAACCTGATGGGGTGGGGAACCTGATGGGGTGGGGAACCTGATGGGGTGGGGAACCTGATGGGGTGGGGAACCTGATGGGGTGGGGAACCTGATGGGGTGGGGAACCTGATGGGGTGGGGAACCTGATGGGGTGGGGAACCTGATGGGGTGGGGAACCTGATGGGGTGGGGAACCTGATGGGGTGGGGAACCTGATGGGGTGGGGAACCTGATGGGGTGGGGAACCTGATGGGGTGGGGAACCTGATGGGGTGGGGAACCTGATGGGGTGGGGAACCTGATGGGGTGGGGAACCTGATGGGGTGGGGAACCTGATGGGGTGGGGAACCTGATGGGGTGGGGAACCTGATGGGGTGGGGAACCTGATGGGGTGGGGAACCTGATGGGGTGGGGAACCTGATGGGGTGGGGAACCTGATGGGGTGGGGAACCTGATGGGGTGGGGAACCTGATGGGGTGGGGAACCTGATGGGGTGGGGAACCTGATGGGGTGGGGAACCTGATGGGGTGGGGAACCTGATGGGGTGGGGAACCTGATGGGGTGGGGAACCTGATGGGGTGGGGAACCTGATGGGGTGGGGAACCTGATGGGGTGGGGAACCTGATGGGGTGGGGAACCTGATGGGGTGGGAAACCTGATGGGGTGGGGAACCTGATGGGGTGGGGAACCTGATGGGGTGGGGAACCTGATGGGGTGGGGAACCTGATGGGGTGGGGAGCCTGATGGGGAAACCCCATGCTCAGCAGAGGATGTGGAGCGTTCGAGTGCCACATGGGAGTTCCACAAAATCGCCTTCTTCTCTCGTTTCTTCCCTGCTCTCTCCCCTCTCTCCCCTCTCCCCTCTCCCCTCTCCCCTCTCCCCACTATCTCACCTCCCTCCCCCCCCTCTCCCCAGCGGTGGCTGTGGAGCGCACTGATAGCCACTTGGCGTTCTGCGCAGATCGCAGCAACCTGCACTCCACTCCGCATACCCAATCGCTCATCGACCCCTCCCCACACTCCACCCCCCATTGCCCCCACTGCCCCAACTTCCCCCTCTGCATTCCTCCCCCCCAGCGGTGGACGTGGAGCGCACGGACAGGCACATGGCGTTCTACGCGGATCGCAGCAACCTGAAGCACTCTTTTATATCCACGGGGTCTTCATTTCTCCCATCTCCCTTCCCCCCTCCCTCATATCAGCGGTGGACGTGGAGCGCACGGACAGGCACATGACGTTCTACGTGGAGAGGAACCAATCTAGTTGCTGCTTCCCCTCACCAATCTAGTTGCTGCTTCCCCTCACCTATGCCTTCTCCTCCGCCCTGCTCCCTTCCCCCCTTTCTTCCCCTTCCCCCTCCCCAGCGGTGGATGTGGAGCGCACGGACCGCCACATGGCGTTCTACGCGGATCGCAGCAACCTGGCGGCCATGAGTGACATCCTGGCCGTGCATGCTTGGATCGACCCTGCTACTGGCTTCTGCCAAGGTATGGAGTGGGCTGGTACTGCGTGAAAGCACATTGAAATATCAGCTGTGACCTGGCAGGCGGCCATGAGTGACATCCTGGCGGCGCACGCGTGGATCGACCCTGCCACTGGCTTCTGCCAAGGTATGCACGAGTAAGGCTGGTGGGTATACCCGTGCAACGAGACGAGTTACTCGCTCGGTATCACCCGAGTTACTCGTTTGGGTGCGAGTAACGAGTTTCGGTTTTTGTAAATTTTACTCGGGCGAGTCAAGCCGAGTTTTACTCGTCGAGTTTTTTTTGCTCGACGAGTACTCGCCTATCCAGGTCTAAGCATGCTTCCATGGGCTTACCGCGGCAACCCAAGGCTACCCAGGGCAACCCAGGGCTTTCCTGGGCTTCCCTAGGCTTCCTGGGGCCACCTTGGGTTTACTTGGGCGGTCCTGGAAACCCCAATACTTGCGTGGTACCAATGGCCTTTACTAGTTGTTATGTACAGAGTCGTTCTATGCAGGAGTAGGGCACATGGCCGAGTATTTACTCGTACTCGGACGAGCTTTTCGAAATGCTCGCCCGAGTTCCCTTATAAAAGGCGAGTAACGAGTTTCTGTTTGGGGGAAAAATGCTCGGTCGAGTATTACTCGACTCGGGCTCGTACTCGGCCGAGCAAGGCTAGGGACGAGTCGAGCATTACTCGGCTCGCCCCTTTGCACAGGTATACTGGTGGGAGAGTCAAGGCTTCTGCCAAGGTATGCACGAGTAAGGCTGGTGGGAGAGGCAAGGCTTGTACCAAGGTACAGCGTGACAGCACAGGGGAATATCGCTCTCACCATGCAGCCATGAGTGCAGTGCTGGAGGAGACGCTCTCATCACATGTGCCTTCTTTCTCCTCGCTTTGCTCGTATTTGCATCCATCCATGCCCGTCCCACTATTTTGTGCCCCTGCATGCGTGCAGGCATGTGCGACCTGCTATCGCCCTTCATCATCCTCTTCCCGCACCCCGCCGACGCCTTCTGGTGCTTCGAAAGCCTCTTCTCCAGAATCGTGAGCCGCTTCTCCCTGCTCCCTCAACCTTTCTCTACTCTCATCTGCTCCTGTCCCCTCACTTTGAGAAGGAGTGCATTTCTTTCGGTACTTTGCTCAACTTGCAAATGTGCAAATGACTGGCCTTGTGCAATACACTCTCTCGTCCTTCTCTCACTTCCCTCTCCCGCCCCCCTCCCCACCCTTCCTGACGGGTCGGCATCCTGCGGCAGCTAGCGGTGCTGAGGGACGTGGCGGCTGTGGTGGACCCCGAGCTGGCGGGGCACCTGCCTCTGTCCCTCTCCCCACCCTTCCTCTGCCTGCCCCTTCACCCCTTTTTCCTCTCCCCCCCAACAGCGCCACAACTTCCTGACGGAGGGTCCGGTGGGCATCCTGCGGAAGCTGGCGGTGCTGAGGGACGTAGTGGCGCTGGTGGACCCCGAGCTGGCCTTTGCCTTCCCCTGCCCCCTCCCACCCCCTCCCTCCTTCCTCTGCCTGCGCCATTTTCACACCACTTTCGACTGGAGAAAACTCTCGTTTCTCATCCTCTCCCTTCTCCCCTCCCCCCCCCACCCATCCCACCTGTACCAGCGCCACAACTTCCTCACAGAAGGGCCAGTGGGCATTCTGCGGCAGCTGGCGGTGCTGCGCGACGTGGTGGCGCTGGTGGACCCCGAGCTGGCCTCCCACCTGGAGGAGCTGGGCGCTGACAACTTCATGTTCACCTTCCGCATGCTGCTCGTGCTCTTCAGGAGGGAGCTGCCGCTTCTGGATGTGATCGTCATGTGGGAGGTGGGTTCATACGTCATTGGCATTGGGAGGTGTGTTGAATAGAAGGGCGGGGTTGTGGGAGAAGAATGCACCCGTTACCATAATGCACCCGTTACCATAACGCACCCGTTACCATAACGCACCCGTTACCATAACGCACCCGTTACCATAACGCACCCGTTACCATAACGCACCCGCTACCATAACGCACCCGTTACCATAACGCACCCGTTACCACTACGCACCCGTTACCATTACGCACCCGTTACCATAACGCACCCGTTACCATTACGCACCCGTTACCACTACGCACCCGTTACCATAACGCACCCGTTACCATAACGCACCCATTACCATAACGCACCCGTTACCATAACGCACCCGTTACCATAACGCACCCGTTACCATAACGCACCCGCTACCATAACGCACCCGTTACCATAACGCACCCGTTACCACTACGCACCCGTTACCATTACGCACCCGTTACCATAACGCACCCGTTACCATTACGCACCCGTTACCACTACGCACCCGTTACCATTACGCACCCGTTACCATAACGCACCCGTTACCATAACGCACCCGTTACCATAACGCACCCGTTACCATAACGCACCCGTTACCATAACGCACCCGTTACCATAACGCACCCGTTACCATAACGCACCCGTTACCATAACGCACCCGTTACCATAACGCACCCGTTACCATAACGCACCCGTTACCATAACGCACCCGTTACCATAACGCACCCGTTACCATTACGCACCCGTTACCATAACGCACCCGTTACCATAACGCACCCGTTACCATAACGCACCCGTTACCATAACGCACCCGTTACCATAACGCACCCGTTACCATAACGCACCCGTTACCATTACGCACCCGTTACCATTACGCACCCGTTACCATTACGCACCCGTTACCATTACGCACCTGTTACCATTACGCTCCCGTTACCATAACGCACCCATTACCATTACACACCCGTTACCATAACGTACCCGTTACCATAACGTACCCGTTACCATTACGCACCCGTTACCATTACGCACCCGTTACCATTACGCACCCGTTACCATTACGCACCCGTTACCATTACGCACCCGTTACCATTACGCACCCGTTACCATTACGCACCTGTTACCATTACGCTCCCGTTACCATAACGCACCCATTACCATTACACACCCGTTACCATAACGTACCCGTTACCATTACGCACCCGTTACCATTACCCCCCATCTGGAGGAGCTGGGAAGCCGATAACTTCATGTTCGCCTTCCGCATGCTGCTTGTGCTGTTCGGGAGAGAATTGCCTCTCTTGGACGTTATTGTCATGTGGGAGGTGCGTTCACATGTATTGTGTTTTCGAATCGTATGCGAATATGGGCTTTGTTCATTCCTCCTCTCTGTTGACATGTTGCTTTCGCTCCCTCCCCGCCTGTGCTCCCGTGTCCTGTTGACTCCCCTCCCTCCAGATGATGTGGGCAGGGCAGCAGACTACGATCCGCGCATGGCAGCAGTGCGGCTGCATCACCCCCCCGAAGGCCTCTCCCTGGCAGCCAAGTCTGCCTGTTGTTGAGGCACCTCAGAAACACACTCCTCCTTGCCCCCTGCCCTCTACCCCCCCCCCCACACAACAACCCCCCTGGCCCCTACCCGCTGTAACCCCTCTATTCAGATGATGTGGGCGGGGGACTATGATTCATGCATGGCAGCAGTGCTGCTGCACCATCCGCCCAAGGGGCTCTCTATTGCTGAATCTGTTGTTGAGGGGGCTCAAACACAGACTCCTTGCCCTCTGTTCCCTGCCTCCTGTCCCCTGTTCCCCCCCTTCCACCCCTTCAGATGATGTGAGCGGCAGACTACGATCCGCGCATGGCAGCAGTGCTGCTGCAAGCTCCCCTGCACCCTTCCCCACCCAACCCCCTCACCCTTTTTCTTACCCTGTGTCCTACGTTTTTCCCCCCGTTCAGATGATGTGGGCGGCAGACTACGATCCGCGCATGGCAGCAGTGCTGCTGCAAGCTCCCCCGCACCCTTCCCCACCCAACCCCCTCACCCCTTTTCTTACCCTGTGTCCTACGTGTTTCCCCCCGTTCAGATGATGTGGGCGGCAGACTACGATCCGCGCATGGCAGCAGTGCTGCTGCACCACCCCCCTGAAGGCCTCTCCCTGGCAGCAGAACCCCTCACCTGGTCCGCCGGCCTGCCCCCACTCCAACCCCCCTCCACCGTCCCCAACTCCTCCCCGACACACCCTGCACACTCCGCACATTCCTCCCTCCCCCCGACCCACCCCGACCCCTCCCCCTTCCCCGCCATGCTCCCCATCCCCCCGTCCCTCCCCCCGGTGCTCGCCCTGGGGCTGGGGAAGCGGTCTGGGCGAAAGGGGGGGAGCATGGGGGGGGGCATGGGGGGAGCGGGGGGAGCGGAGGGGGCGGGGGGAAGGGGGATGTCGCGGTGGGGGGAAGCGCGGGTGGGGGATGAGGACCTAGCAGTGTTTTGTGTAGCGGCCATTCTGAGAGCCAACAGGAAGAGGCTGCTGCAAGTGGAGGGCTCAGACGAAGCCATTAAGGTGGGTTGCGGATCTTAAGCCTTGAACCCCTCCTTCCATCTCGTCCTCCCTTGGCTCTTGTCTTGCCCGCCCTCCCTTGCTCGGCGCGGGTGGGGGATGAGGACCTAGCCGTGTTCTGTGTGGCGGCCATTCTGAGAGCCAACAGGAAGAGGGTGCTGCAGGTGGAGGGCTCAGATAAAGCCATTAAGGTGCACCACGCTCTCTGCTCTCACAAGCACCTCTCTGCCCGCATGCACGGCTCTCTGCCCGCATGCACGGCTCTCTCCAAACCCCAAACTCCCGCCGCTCCTACTAATCTTCACCATCAACGCTGCTCCACTTATCGGCCTTGCTCTTCTCAGATGTTCAACGATTTGTAGCTCGTGCTGGATGTGGCATCGTGTGTGCACCCACACTCCACTCTCCCCTTACCACTGCTTTTGGCTGTTTCCTTCTCTAACCTACCCTCCTCTCCCCCTCAGATTTTCAACGATGTGGAGCTGGTGCTGGATGTGGCATCCTGTGTGCACCACTCCAAGGCCCCCAATGAACCCCCACTAACCCCCCTTCCCTCCTCCTCCAGATGTTCAACGATGTGGAGCTGGTGTTGGATGTGGCATCATGTGTGCACCTTGCCATTAAAATTCGAGCCAAGTACTGCAAGAAGGTGAGCGGCCATGGGTCACGGGATGTGCCATGGGTCACGGGATGTGCCATGTGTTGTGTGCTATGCTATGTGCCATGGCTTGTGTGACTTGCTATGCACCAGACCCCTTCCCCACATCTCGCCATCAAGATCCGAGCCAAGTACTGCAAGAAGGTGAGCGGCCATGGGTCATGGGTCATGTGCCATGTGCCATACGTCATAGGCAATGTTCCATGTGCCATGTGCCATCTTGTCCCATGTACCATCATACCATGTGCCATCTTCTCCCATGTACCATCATACCATGTGCCATCTTCTCCCATGTACCATCATACCATGTGCCATCTTCTCCCATGTACCATCATACCATGTGCCATCTTCTCCCATTTACCATCATACCATGTACCATCTTGTCCCATGTACCATCATACCATGTGCCATCTTGTCCCATGTACCATCATACCATGTGCCATCTTCTCCCATGTACCATCATACCATGTGCCATCTTCTCCCATTTACCATCATACCATGTGCCATCTTGTCCCATGTACCATCATACCATGTGCCATCTTGTCCCATGTACCATCATACCATGTGCCATCTTGCCCCATGTGCCATGTGCTATGGGTCGTGTGCCTTGGCGTACATGTAATGGTAACGCCCCCTCCAACCCCATTTTTCCCTCCTCTGCTCTCATGCCCCTGCAGTCTAATCGAGCCACTCGTGTGTTGCGGTAGCAGCACACGCATCCCCCCGACCCTCATCCATCCAACTGGAAAAGACTCGTCCAGCCTTTCCCCAACCAACCACCGAGCCTTTCCCCTTGCCAGTCCGCTGGGTACGCCCGGAGGAGGCCATCCGCCTTGCCAGTTTGGAATGCATTCGATTTTTGTTATGCCACGTAAGTGGCATAGTACAGTATGTTACAGTGCACTGCAGTGCAGCACGCTCTAGGTTATCAGTGCAGCACGACACAAACCAGTTCAGGACATGAAACCTACCGTACGTACATAGCTTTTTGGTGTCAATGAATAGAAAATGTATTTCAAAGCAGCTTTGGAAATTGTGCAGTGTAAAGCTGAAACAGGCGGTAACAAAAAGGAACTCCCAAACACGAGTTGATTGAACGCACTGCAAGCAGAAATAAAAAGCAGTGGTCATGTGGGCAGTTAGGCAAGGATATTCACCACCACAGTGCTGCCACCACAATCAGAAGCACCAACCAGCAGCACACCTGCCTGGCAGGCACTGCCAGCAATAGCTATCTACAGCAGGCAACCACCAGCTTCCAGCCTCTCACAACGCAACACTGCATCCCACCACCACCCAGTCACGGCTTGCCCTTGCCCTTGCCTTTGCCTTTGCGCCCCTTGCCAGCAGCAGCAGCAGCAGCCCCAGACAGGTGTTTGGGGTCTAACTGGTCCAGACCAGAGGCGTGCTGGCGAGCAGAAAGAGCCACACTGCCCTCTCTCCCAGTCACAGCTTGCCCTTGCTCTTGCGGCCTTTACCACCACCAGCAGCCCCAGCAAGGTGTTTGGGGTCTAACTGGTCCACAGGCGTGCTGGCGAGCAGGAAGAGCCGCGCTGCCCTCTCGCTCAGGGTGCCACCACACTTGAGCCCCCTCTGCTGCAGCTCCTGCTTCAGCCGCTCCAACCCCAACGACTGGCGCATGGCGAGAAGACACAGAGTGGGGGGAGGGGAGGTGGAGGGAGGGAAGGTGGGAGGCAGGAGGGTGAACACTATGGGTGTGAAGAGACGAAAGAAAATGGGTGGGGCAGTGTACAGGGAAGGGAAGCAAAGGGGGGGGAAGGGGCTGGGTAAGAATGAGACAGGCATGGCATGGGGGTGGTAAGGCAGAAGCACACGTGGAGCTCACAGGCTGCTTCAGCACTCACCTCCAGGTCAGTGGCAGAGTGGACCAGTGAGAGGTCGATGTGCCCCTCTGCTGCTGCTGCTGCTGCTGCTGTCTGCTGTGTCTGCGGCGGCGGCGGCGGCGGCGGCTGCTGCTGCTGTTGCTGGTGTTGTTGGGACTCCTGCTTCTGCTGCTGCTGCTGCTCTTGCACTTTTTGCTGCTGCTGCACCTGCTGCGGCTGTGCCTGCGGCTCGTGATGGTGGAGTGCCGAGGAGTGGGCGGAGGGCGAGCGACTTGCATGGCAAGCTTCATCGCGCTCCTCATCAGACGAGGACGAGTGCAGCGGTGCCACTGCCTTGCCCGCACTGCCCGCACTGCCTGCACTCCCTGCACCCCCACTCCCCTCGCTCCCCTCCTTCGAACCACTCCCACTCCCCTCCTCCCCTCCCTTTTCTGTGCCCTCCTCTCCCTCCTCATGCTCCTCGTCTTCCTCCTCTTCGTCCTCCTCCTCTTCGTCCTCCTCCTCTTCGTCCTCTTCCTCTTCCCCTTCCTCCTCATCCTCCTCCTCGTCGTCCTCCCCCTCCTCAATATCCTCCAGCATGCCTCTGCAATGCAGGGACAGGGGCAGGGACAGGGGCAGGGACACGAACACGAACACGTGGAAAATTGAGTTACACGCATGGGCATGTGAGAGCGCATGGAACGACACACGTGCACGCACAGGAGATCGCAACGGACAAACCACCAAGGCACACGGAAGAGGAGAGCGGGGTTAGCAGGAGTGGAGTTCCAAACTCAGCCCCATATCCTTCCATTCACACCCCCCTCCCCCTCCCTCCAGCCTTTCTTTCCTTGTAAGCACCTATCCAACCCCCCATCTCCTGTTCCCCCCCGCATTCCCTCCCCACTCCATTCCCCCAGTCAAGAAACGTACAGAAGTTTCCCTCGCTTCGCCTGCTGCGCCCGCTCCGCCTCCTCCTCCCCCTCCTCCTCCGCGCTCAGCTTCCGCTTCCCCTTATCCAGACCGTGCCGCTCCATACCGCTCTTCACCGCATCAGCGACTCTCGCCATGGCGGCGTGGCTGGCCTTGCGCACCGCGCCCAGATCGACCACCTCCTCGCGCCGCTTCCTCTTCTCCTTCGCGAGTCTCTTCAAATAATCCTGCGCCGTCTTTTCCAGTTGTCGTTCTCGCGCCTCGTGCCGCCAATCCTTCAGTTTACGCTCGGCGTTGACGTGCCGGAGCCGCCGACCACTCATATCGCGACACGCGTCGAAATTGCTCGTTTTCTTCTGCCCGGCTTTGGTGGCGGCGCCGCGCAGCAGCGACCCGAAGCCACCCTTTCCTCCGAGAACCCTCGCGATGACGTGGCACGAAGGGAAGAATCCTGCCGCGTCAGCAGAGAGGAGCGACGTGTCCGAGATCTCCCGCGTGCCGGTGACGACGCGGAACGAGTCGCATCCGTCGCACCCATCGCATGCATCGCAGCTGCCGTCACTTCTGTCGCTTAAAAGCGGCGGAAGAGCGCGCCGACTTCGCAACGCGGTCTTAAGGTCAGCACCGGAAATCACGGCTCTATCGGTGCGAAGCAGTGTAGTAGCGCCATCGAGACCTCGAACGAACACCTGAAACGTCATTCTCGTCCACCGAGCACCGGCTGTGTATAAGCGTATAGTGAGCGCACACCGACCGCGTAACAACCGTGATTTTGTATACTACGACCTCGTAAGCGCGTTCAAGAACGATAGTTGAGGCCGAGTCGCGAGGCACAGACAGAGAGAACAAGCTTTCAGGCTTCTAGTTCAAGAACAATGTTTGAGGCCGAGTGGAATGGATGGATGTGGCCGTTGGACTGTGGTTGCGCGAAAGCATAGAAGTCTGCGGGGCAAAGCAGTTGAAAGGAAAGAAGTTGAGGACGGGGAGCAAAGTGATGGGCAAGAATCCGCGGGGGGTAGAGTGGGGGAAATCTGTTGGCGGAATGGAGTGGTCGAGGAGGACAGGGAAGTGCCAGAGTCTGCTGGGTTGCGCTGGCCAATGGGGATGACTCGCTTTGAAACCCTAAAACAATGTTGTTTTAGGGCGTGTTACATCGCAGACGAAAACTTCGCCAGGCTTAGAGCTTGGGTTCGGATTGAAGACGCGCAGAGTCACACCTGACTGTCGCGAATCTGCCCTGGTTTCGCCGTGACAAACCCACAGTGCTGGAATTCCGCCACATATCATGGCTGGTCGCCCAACGGGATGAGTCGCCCTCGCGAACTGGCGAATTTATTGTTCGACCAGTGCCCTGTTCGATGCAACATTACACGCCCTTAGAAGCCGCACAATGGGGAGAAATCCGTAAAACGGCAGAGAGTTTGCAGGGTCAATTATTTGAAGCACAAAAGTAGCAATGGCGTCCACAGGAGCCGGCCAACAAGTAGTGAAGGCAGTTGCTGAGTTAGCTCATCGATTACGACCGTCATTCGTTAATGGGAAGTGGCGCGGTGCAGCAATTTCCGCGAAGAACCGCGCACGGTTGCGACGAGAGACTTTACTGTCTGGCGAGTGAGTTCTTCTAGGCTATCTCGGTTCGGAACAAAAGTACAACAGATTAGAAACCGTTTGAGCTGTGATTTACCTAGGTCGTCGATTATGATTTAGCGTCACTCGTATCTTGCAATGGCTTCCTGTCGTGCGACCGCGGTGGGAGCAGCTGTTATGTTGACGCGTTCCTTGATGAACGGACGCCATTGTTCTCGTTTTTGTTCGTCTTCGATCGTCGAGGTAACGCCTAATCGCGCTTTCTAGAGATATCGAGGCCGGATTTTCTGAGATTCGCCACTTCCTGCTGCCTCGTCATTCTCTCATTGCTTGAGTCCCATCTCGTCTGTGGTCGTGTGATGGTGTGAGATGCGTGCATGTGTGTTGTCCTTGTGGGAGGGGCTCTGTGGTATTTGTAGCTGGAGCGGTGTGGAAAGGGGGGCTTGAGAGGGCGTGCCGATTTTCATGATATGTCTGTCTGCATGTGTTGGGGGGGGAGTGGGGGGGGGAGAAATGTGTGCCTGAACATTTTGTCTGCATGCGTGTGTTGGAGTGGCAGGGAGTGGCCTTATGACGCTCCTCGGAAGGAGATGAAGACCAAGATAAAGGGTCACAAGCACGATAAGGAGGCTGCAGTGAGGTTAGCCTGCGATTCTTTAAATTTGGTTCGCTAGTGAGTGTTGGTTTGCTATGGAAGAAGCCCACGTTCAGCCCACTTTCGCACCCCAGGTTGCAGCCAAGTTTGCGCTTGGTGATCTCTGTTCTGGGCTCAATCATCATTATACTCCTCTATGTCTTGGTATGCAGGCAAGAAAAAATTGCAGAGAATATGGCCAAAATGCCCGAATTGCTTGAGCAAATGAAGGTATGAGAGAAATGTGTCTGAACATAAGTGCAATGCTGGTTGCTGTTCATTTTGTGCTTACTTTTGGGTGCCTGTCCATTTTTTCGCAGAAACGGCAAATAGAGGCTAAAAAAAAGTCTCCAAAGAAGCAGTAAACGGATAGGAGGTAAGAATTGGATTCATTTGCTCAATAACTCTGTCAAGACAGCATCGTTATGCTGAGTGTATCTGTCAAATTTGAGATGAAAACTCTGCAAGATGGGCACATGATGTTAGGAGAAGGTTGCCATCTGATGTGTTCTTGTTGCCAACTCTACACATGGTGCTTGTACTCCTGCTCAGTCCCTTCGACTGGCCCCTTTGTTACTGTGATTATTCCAGTCCGGTCTGATTTTAACATGTGTGCATCTTCTTCATCTTCAAAAACCTTAAGCATCCACTTCCCTTTTCCTCTGTTTTTGAATTTGACATGGCATCGCAGGTTTCAATATTTCAGGGTATACTCGAACATCACAGCATAGCATGTCATCCCAAGATCGCCGAATAAGAATAATGCATCCAGATCAGATTGCCGCAGACATGGACTTCCTTCCGGGCATAACCATTGCTGCTGCTTCTGGTGGTTTGTAGGTTGTTCCCATTATTATGTACCTGCATTGAATGGTATACAGGTTAGTTTATGATCTCATGGAAAGTAATGTCAAAACAGTATACCTGTAAATGACAGCTGCTAGTGCTGATCCCAGGCTGGGTGCAACCCAGTACACCCAGTGTTCTTGTGGCCAGATTCCTGATACAACAGCTGGCCCAAAGCTTCTGGCAGGATTCATGGATGCACCTGTAAATGGTACTCCCACCAAGTGATCGACTACCACCACAAGACCTATCGGTATAGGTGCAATAACACCTGTTGGACAAGCAAGCAGACATCAGGTGTGACGTGGCAAACGGCACCGCATGTGATACAAGAATCAGGATACGGTACTTGCCTGGTCCTCTTCGGTCCACAGCGACACCAAAGATAACATATACCAGAGTAAAGGTTAGCATCAGTTCCATCAGAAAAGCATTGCCAACGGAAGTTCCGTGGCCAAGACTGTGACTGCCCAAGTGACCTAAATCTGCTGCAGGGGTGGACGCCCCCAACAAGGCAGCTCCGCAGATTCCCCCAACCAACTGCAGATGACAACAATACCTATGTCAGTTATGGATGCTGCTAACTTGCTCGTGAACAGTAGGGGCTGCAGAATGTTGCACCTGAGCAACGATGTATAGAGAGCCCCTTATGATGTTCTCCTTTCCAGCAACTACGAAGGCAAGGGTAACTACTGGGTTGATATGGCCTCCAGAGATTGCACCGGTGCTTGCCACGAGAAAGGTTATAGCCAAACCATGACCCAGCGCGATCACAGTGAGCCTTGCAGATGACAGCTCCGTCTCAAGGACCCCTGAGAATACACGCCGGCTTGGATGACTTGAAGTGTGTGGTACAGCTTAGACGAGCGTAGAAGAACATTCACCTGATGCTACGACAGAGCCACAACCCAAATAAACGAAAAGAAGGGTGGCGAGAAACTCAACGCCGATGGAACGCCATTGTTCTTTGGACTTTAAGGACTTGTACTCGCCAAGCTCAACCTGTAAGCCGCCTTTAGGTTAAAATCTGGGACTGAAAGTGGATTCCAATGCTCCACAGTTAAAAATCCTCAGCCGCAAACCTTCATGAAATTAAGCATTGTGACCAGTCGAACAGCGCCTTCGACCATTGTGTGTAATCCACCGTTCTCGTCATGGCCAGGGTCGTGCTGGAGAATGGGCTTTCGGCCAAGTTCCTCATGGTTATCGCGTTCGCCGGCCATCTCCATGTCAGACTGTAATAAGGTTGCATAGAATTAAATTGCTGTCAGGGAAATCTAGACATCGATTGAGCCCCAAACGTATAACTCACCATCATGTTCCAGCAGATCACCTTCCAATATTTGAGACAACAGCACTAACAGATTCACGAAATGGAGCTGGGATTCAAAATCTGGTGGAGTTTGGCGTTGTTCTGCAGGCGTTTAGGGTTCCGCACCAATTTGACCGCGGTAGCCTTCCGTGCATTTTCTAGGCGCATTCATGCTGGTTGCGTTGCGCGGATGTTGCTACCTCGCATAACATGTGCGGAGGCTGATGCTAGCTCCCGAGGTAGAATTAGCACCGCACTAGTTGTGCGACCATTTGCTCGGCGAAGCAACAACTTCGAGCCTGCAGACGGTTAAATTCGTGCGCCCCAAAAGTGGCGTTCTGCAGGCTGATGCGTTAAATTGGCGCAAACAGGTTCGGCAGGAACTCTCTTATCACCAAACCTTGATAGGCAGAAGACCACTTATCAACGAAGATTCTGCGGACCCAGTTTTTGGAAATTTCAACGCCTACAGAACAGCACCGAAGGCGGTCTTTTGGGGACGGGGATTCCACTGATCCGTCGCTTGAATCGCTTTACAAATCTATTCCACCCAACCTTCAGTTTTCGCCAACGTCGTTCAGCTCGCAATTTTCTTGCTTCACTTCGTGTGGCGAAGACGTTTCGGTGGTGAACCAAGTGGGCGAAAAGCCGAAGACACCTCATCAAGCCACGAGAAAGTGCTGTTGAGAAATCGAAGTTCCTGCCACGTGCTAAATTCTCAATCGAGGACGATCGATTCCGCGTCGCAAAGGAATGTCGTCCGTCGCATTTCGCCATCCTCTGCATTCCCAAGAGGTCATAGGCAACACATTTCAGCTGACAAGTCTTTCTGTTGAACGTTCACACCACAGCCATGGCTCCTTCACCCTGCTCGCATATAAGCTCATCAGCTCGGCCAATGCATCCCAGACGGACTAAGCGCCGTTTCATTGCGCGATCTTATCAAACCCTCTTCTTACCTTATTCTCATGGGTCACACTGTAACTCTCTCGCAATCGAGTTCAAGTCCGCAGGTCATGACCGACTCTGCCTGCTTCACGCTGACCGACAAACCAGCACTTCGTCCCGTCCACTCAGTTCCTCCTGACAAGGAAAAGAAACCTGTTCATGAATTTGACAGTCTTCTCTATTCGCCGCTTGACATTCGTTGCAATGACGCTAAAAGTGCTGCTTCTCTTTCGAAAAGGCGTCCAGGACTGCAAGCAACAAATTCCTTGAATCAAGACAGCCTGTGCATAGTGTCTGAGGACCTCACCGTGGATCACGAGGGTTTGAATTCGATTCCTTATTCCGAGGTGCGAATCTCGAAGACAATAGTGGAATCGCCAGATCCGTCAACCCAGTATGAAGAGGGCGAGTATCTGTCGTCCGATCAAGGTGGCGACCCTCACTGCGACACTCAAGACGGCGGGTGCTTCTTGAGCGACCTTGCAAATGGCGAGTTACGGCTGCTTCGAAAAGACGAGCGGTGGGAAGAGGGGTCCTTGACGAGCGCGCCACACGCTGCAGAGGAGAAGAAGAGGCGGCGCAGGAAGAAGAAAGGCCGGAAGTCGCGGACGCTGCTTCTAGTGTCCAACTCAAGGATCCGGTCTCCGGGGCAAAGCCACTCGAATCATGGACACGAGACAAGCATGGGAGGATCAGCTTGGGAACAACAGCATGGCCAAGGTGTGCGACAGGGAGCTCATGGCCCTCGGTACTTCGCTAGAGACGGCAATCAGCAGCAGCACCAGCAGCGGCAGCCAGCAGTGTACACGCCGAAGCACTCCCCCACTCGTGCGTACTCTCACAGGCTTCCAACCAGCACGGATGCTGCTGCCTGGGCGCTCTGCCATCACCCCTCTTCACCGCTCCGCAGCGCTCCCATAGGGGCCGTGGCTGCGGCTGTGGCTCAGGCTGCGAGTGCTGCAAGTGTTGTGAACGCTGCGAGTGCAGCAAGGATGCCAGGAGGAAGTCACGGCTTCTGGCCCATGAGACGTGACATGGTGGGCCCGTGGCACATGGGGCCTATGGGGTCCGTGGGATCTATGAGGTCCATCCCCACCATGCCCTTGCCCATGTCGCTTCAGCTTCCAGTGGCTGCTCTGCCTCCCATGACCTCCACACCGCCCATTGGATGCACCATGCAAGCATCGTCTGTGCCTGCACCGTTCCCAGCTGTTTTCCAGACGAATCCAGTGGCGGCTCATTCCTGGCCCACGAGCAGATGGCCTGCAGGCAACGGAACGAGGGGCAACATGGGAGTTAACGGCAGTGGGGACGCGGGTGTAGCAGACCGCATGAATGGTGATGCCGGTGGGGACGCAGTAGAGGAATGCTTGCAGGCCATGCAGGCCATGTCCATCGACCCATCCGATTCCTCTACTCGAGTTTCTCAGCCATCCAAGTGGAGCAGCTTGGCGGAAGGTGCAGCAGGCGGAGCTGATTACCAGTTGACGGGTGACTGCAGTAATTTCCCAGGGAGCGGCAGCATGCCATCTTCCTTGCACCTGCAGCGCCCCTCTTCTGACTATAGCTCCTTATCAGCCGCGCCCTCGGTGCCCCACCAGCAAGCAGTACGACATGTCCCAACCAATCAGCAGCAGCCGTCTTATTCCATGGACGCATACCCGCGTCTATCGCCTCCGTTCTTCTGGCATGAGGCTGTGTGGATGCCTGGTTTTGCTCTCTCCCACGGCTTCTTCCCTTCCGCTTCCACCAACACCAGAAGCAGTAGCGCAGCCAGCAGCAAGTGCGCGAGTAGCACGCCTTCCAATGGTGTGGCACACCCATTGGGTCCATTCCCTGGATCGCTTCCTGTCCCAGGCAATGGGGTTTTCAACTGGTCTATGTTACAGCAGCAGCACATGTACATGCAGCACCAGCAGCAACAGCTGCAGCAGCAGCAGAAAAAGCAGCAGCTGCAGCAACAACAGCAGCAGCAGGAGCAACAGGAGCAGCAGCTTCTCGTGAAACCTGTTCCACAGCGTGCAGAGCCCATAACCAAGGAGGGCAGCGCTGACAGAGGATGCCAGCAATGTGTACCAGGCACTGAAACCCCACAACAGGAACACGACATGAAGACTGGGGATGTGAGAGAGAATGAGGAGAAGAGTGAAGGAAAAGCAAGTGATTATGAAGAAGCGTGTGGTACAACGGCAGGGAGTGAATTCAACGAGGGCGATGAAACAGACGACAGTGTAATTTCTCCAGACAGCCCGAAGGCGCATGACTGCTCCTCTTCTGCACATCCCTCGCAGCCCTCACGGCCCGCACAGCCTTCACATCGGCAGTCTCCTCTTCGGAGCAGAGCCCCGTCCCGCCTCAAGCCATGCGACTCTGTGCACGTGCATCTCTCTCTCTCCCTCCAGATCCCCTCCCCACGCGCCTCCTCCCGCCTCTTCAGGAAGCCTCCACGTGCCCGCAGATCCCCAGGCCTCAGAGTGCTGTCACCAGGCCTCAGTCCCCCGCAAAAGCAGCTGCTTGCAGGGGAAGCTGCACACAGCATGGGGCTCAAAAGCCCTTCTTCTCCCCACTGCGCCGCCACTTCCCCATGTCTGCGCTCCTGCCGCACTTCCTTCCCCCCGTGCGTCCCCCGCTGCAGCCCCACCTTTTCTTTCCTCCCGGATTCGCTGTCCCCGCTCCACTCCCCTCTGGTCCTCTCCCCCACTGTTGCCCTGCATGTCTCGCATCCCTCATCCCCAGTTGGCCCCTGTTCCCCCCGCTGCTGTTTGCAAGGCACCAGCCCAGCAAGGAAGAGGGAGAGTGTGAAGTGCAGCATGGGCAATGGTAGGGGTGGTGGAGAAGAGGATAGGCCAAAAGAGGCAGGCGGGTTGGAGAAGGAAGGAATTGCTCGCACTGGAGTGGGTGCAAATTGTGGGAGGGGGAAAGCTCTGAAACGGAGTCCACTTGGGATGTGAGCCTGGCGAAACCGAATAGCAATGCACGTTCTAGTTGAGGTATCGATTCAGTATGATTTTGTATTCTGCACGTGCTTAGTAAATGTATATTGTGAATGGGCCTGTTTATCAGAAGCACTCCGGATACAAATGTTTTTTTGTACAAATATCGTTATTGTTCCTATGGTTGCAGAAATTTACTCAGCTTATCAGAGCTAAATCTGCTTTGAAGCGGCTATTACTGGAGATTCGCGTTCTGGCGGGAATAGACTGCTGATTTTCTGTTCTCCCTGGGCAGTTATCCAATCGCTGACAAGCCACTCTCTGCGGTGCAGGTTTCCCTGCACCAGCGTGAGCAGTGTTCCACCATTTCTTCCAGGTGCTTCGCTGCGCGCTCACTTGCTCACTCACCTTGTCTGCCTACCTGACCAAACCCTTGTGAGATGCGATCACACCTGATCAACATGCTGCCAGGGCCAGGAACCATTGCATCTAGTGGACGTCACATATTTTCTAGTGTGTTAGTCGAAGAGACGTTCAGTGCGAGTGGTCGTGTAATTAGCTGGCAATAACAGCGAGCCACGCGCATCGCTCGGCCAGTTTCGATCGCCCGTCGCGGCGGGTCATGGCACGGGATGATGCGATCGTGCCACAGCACGGCTCGGGATTCCCGCTCCCAGACTACATACCCATCCGACGAAGTAAGCCTCTAGTTCCCGGTAGGTGCGTTTGATCCACAATGCAGGCCATGCTCCTGCAGTCGCTGAAATTGTCTAGGTTCGTTGAATCCATTCAATGCAGTCCAGTGAGCAGTCGAGGAGGGCGTACCTTCGCGACATTCCGTGGTTGTTCTCCTTGTCGATTCGCGAGTTCAAAATAGAAGGCATCGGGCACTGGATCACCTATGGGTGCATGAGAGGCATGGGTGGCGAGGCTGCGTCCTGTCGGCACGCGAGTCTGGCTCGGTTGACCACCCGTATTCTTTGTTGTCTGAAAACCTCCTGTTGTCCCGGACCATGCTTCCCTGCATTCTCCCCCCGCCATGTCTCACCTTCTGATTGACTGGAATAGGGCGATTGAGTGAAACCCACTTATAGGCTGGGGATTTATGTAGTGACAAGTTTTGGAACCCACTTACTGACCTAATTTCGCCATCGTTTTCATTCCGCTTTGCGCGATGAATTCGTGTAGTGGTTACGAGCTCCTTTGTCTGGCTGGAAGCGGCCTTCTGCCTAGATTTAACTGTGTGAGCATGAAATCGGTGCATTCGCTTAACGGGATTCGCGACTCGACTGGGCGGCTAGCAGCAGAGACGCGCTGCGAGCGTCAGTCAGCCGCAGTCGCAGCGATTCTTGCCGCTCACGCGCCAACCCTTTCCCTCCCTCTCCCTCCGCAAATTCCAACCCTAGCCATGCATCCCACAGCCCTTCCGTAATGTCTCTCCAAATTCACTCTCTTTTCCGCCATCCTCCCTTCTTTCCGCCACCCCCCTCCCCCCGGCGCGCAGACGAGTATCTTGTGAAGCGGCCCGCCAAGCCGTCGGCAGCGGAGTCGGTGCAGTGCGAATGCCACAAGGGCGCGGGGGGGCGCGCGCGGGAGAGCATCACGGGCCGGGGGTGGAAGCGACTGGTGGTGGCGGAGGAGGAGGAGGAGGAGGATGAGGGTGAGGATGAGGGGGAAGAGGAGGGGAGTGATGATGGGAGCTCAGATGATGGCTTGGAAGGGGGAGATGGAGGAGAGGAGAGCGAGGAGGATGAGGAGGAGGAAGGGGAGGATTCAGAATCGGAGGAAGAGGAGGAGGTGGAGGAGGGGGAGGATGAGGAGGATGGGGAGTGGCAGGGAGGCAAGAGGAAGGCGAGTGCGGTGAAGATGAGCCAGCAAGGAAGGACGACCAAGGGGAAGGCGAATGCGCAGGCGACGCACAACACCAAGACAGGGAGGAGGCGGAGGAGGAATATGTCCATCTGTGGCGAGGCATGCCTCTGCCGGTGTGTGACCATTGCCACTCCTGCACCTCCTTTCATGGCGCGTGCCTCTCTCCTCCCTCTGCACCATCAGCTCCCGCTCCCTGCACACATCCTCTTCCACTCTCATTATCTACTTTCCGTCTCTCTCTGCTCCTTCTCCAACCTTCCTCCCCCCCCACCCCTCACCCCCTCCGCCTCCCTGCGCCCCTCTCCGCCCTCTCTCCCCCCACAGCATGTTGCACGTGAGTTGCAGCAAGCACTGCGGGTGCGGGTCGTCGTGTCAGAACGCGCCCTTCCACCGCCGCCCCTCGCGCAAAGTCAAGCTCTGCAGGGTGCGTCGCGCTGCCCCCCCGCCTCCCCTCAACCGTCTCAGCACACCGCAACCCTGAACCATCACTGCTCGCTGCTCCGCATAGCCCACTCCGCTGTTGCTTGCCCCATGGCTGTCCATCTCCTCTCTGCTCACACTCACCCCCCTGCCCCCAGCTCACCGTCCCTTCTCCTCCCCCGCATTATTCCCGCTTATCCCCCGCGTTTCCCCTTCATATGTCCTGCTTTTCCCGTTTTCGTATCAAGCAAATCCCCCCTTATCCCCATGCGTGTCCTCTGCTCACATCCCGCAAACCCCCCTGTGCGCAGACGGATAAGTGCGGGTGGGGCCTCAAGGCCAACGAGGACCTCCCTGCGGGATGCTACGTGATGGAGTATGTGGGGCAAGGTGAGAGTGCGGGGCAGCCATGTATTGTCACTCACATGGATGCATCCGTCACTGACTGGCAGCTCAACTGTGACCCCCTCACCCCTTCCCCTTGCATTCCTGCACTGCTAACCCCTTTCCCTGGGCCTGTTCGTGCACCCACCCCCATGTATCCATACGCCCTTTCCCCTGTACCCATGCGCCTCCTTCCCCCCCTCCTCCCCCCTGCCCCATGTTGCACGGAGCGGTGAGCAGTGATAGACGACGCCACGTGCGAGCAGCGCCTGTGGGACATGAAGGCCGCCGGGGAGACCGACTTCTACCTCTGCGAGGTTTACCCCTGCCGCCCCCTGCCGCCCCTGCCGCCCCTGCCACTCCTGCCGCCCCTATCACTCCTGCCGTCCGTGCCGCCCCTGCCACCCCTGCCACCCATTGCTGTGTGCTTCACTGCGATTCCATGCGCTTCGCCTCATTGCCTCGTCAATCAAGCACGGAGCACTGCTATCCCCATTCTTTCCATGCCATCTCGCCCCTCGAGGTCGTTTCGCTTCATCCTGCTGTTCCTCCCACTGCTCCCTGCGCCCTCTCCCATACGCCGCTTGCCCTGCGCCCTGTTCCCTGTGCCCCGTGCTTATGGTGTGTGCGCCATGGATGGGAGCGCAGGTGAGCAGTGACATGATCATAGACGCGCGCTACAAGGGCAACCTCTCGCGCTTCATCAACCACTCCTGCAACCCCAACTGCGAATTGCAGAAGTGGTGAGCAACCGATGAGCAACTTATGAGTAACTGCTGACCCCAACTGCTGACCCCAACTGCTGACCCCAACTGCTGACCCCAACTGCTGATCCCAACTGCTGGCCCCAACTGCTGATCCCACCTGCTCTCCGAGTCCAGCTGATCCTTGGTGCTCTTCCATGAACTTTCATCCTGCATGTTTCTTTTGCCCATTTCTCTCTCTCTGCTTCTGTTGCTACTGCTGCTGCTGCTGCTGCTATCGTGGTGCACGAGCAGGCAGATGGATGGGGAGGTGCGCATAGGCGTGTGCACGCTGCGCGCAGTCAGCAAGGGGCAGTTCCTCACATACGACTACCAGTGAGCCTCTTTACAATGCCGAATCCCTCAGCTAGTCGTGAGCTTAGGGTGACGCTTCGCTTCTCATGTGCTGGTGGCATGGCCTTGATGCTCGTTCTCTCTCTTCTCCACTGCGCTGACTGCAGTTTTTCCTTCCTGCTCTCTAAGCAAACAATTTTTCGCATTCGAACACTAGCTGCGCGCACACACTCTCAGAATGCGTCAGACCAGCAACCGCCGCTCTCGTGACTGCAATCACCATCTCCTCTGCCCCCTCTACCCCCCTATGCGCACCCCCGCCTTGCTGTGCCCATGCAGGTTCATAGGGTTCGAGCTACAGCCCAAGGAGTGCCACTGCGGGGAGCCCAACTGCCGCGGCCTCCTCGCCACGCGCACCATCTCCCCCTTCACCCTCCCCCTCCCCTTCCCCGCCCCCGCCCTCCCCGCGCTCCCCATTCCGCCCGCCTTGCCCGCCACCCCCCCGCATGCAGGGGGAACCGTTCCCCCTGGGGGCGCGCAGGGGAAGGGGAAGCGCGGAGGCAGAGGGGGAAAAGGGGACGGAATAAAAGGGGAAGGGAGGGGGAAGACTGTGGTGGATGTGTGTGGGGGAGTCGTAACAGGGGGCAGCGGGGCAGGCAGGGGCGGGGTGAGGGGAAGAGGACGGGGAAGAGGAGGTAGTATGGGGCAGCAAGGAGCAGTGGGCGTGGGGAGAGGAAGCGGGAGGGGAAGAGGGCGAGGCAGGTGGGAGGTGGGAGGAAGGGAGTGTGGAGAGAGGGGTGGTGGCAAGATGGGGAGAGGCAGGGGTGTTTCTGCAGGAGGTGCAGCAGTGCCGATTGCCTTGGGGAGAGGTGCAGCAGTGCCGATTGCCTTGGGGAGAGGTGCAGAAGGGAGCAGCAGAGGCAGCGACAGAGGGAGAGGGAGAGGGAGAGGAAAAGTGTGGGTGAAGCGGCCGAAGAGGCGGCATCTGTCAGAGCTGCATGCGGACGGGCACACTCTGGTGAGCGCTGGTGGTGCGCTTGACACTGACCGAGACTTGGCTGATGTTTCTCGTGCCAGGGCTAAGAGTATGGCTCTAGAGGCGGATGAGGAGGAGGAGGAGGACGTGGAGGAGGAAGAGGAGGAGGAGGAGGAGGCAGATGAGGAGGAAGAGGAGGAGGATGAAGAGGAGGAGGAAGATGAGGAGGAAGAGGGAGAGGAAGAGGAAGAGGAAGAGGAGCAAGTGGAGGAAGAGGAAGAGGAAGAGGAAGAGGAAGAGGAAGAGGAGGAAGATCTGCAGGAGCGCGGGGAAGAGATATCTGGGGAGGGGCGTCGTGGGAGCAGGCGCCTCATTCCGGGGCCGGGGTGGGCCCCGGTGCCCCTGCTGCGCGGCACCAGGCGCAAGCGCCAGGCACGAGGAGTGCGAGGGGGCATGCGCAGTGATGTGCGCGGTAGCACTGCTGGCGCTGTTGCTGGGGGCAGCACCGCTGCTGGGGCCACCGGTGGGGAGGGCGGCGAGGGGGAGGGAGGTGGCAGGAGGGCGCAGGAGGGATCGTGTGTGACGTCAGTGGCTGCGGCTGGGGGGCGTGCTGCTGTGGCGGTGGGTGGCTGCGCTGGCGGGCAGGGGGACGTGGGCGTGGGCGTGGGTATGGGTATGGGTATGGGCAGGGAGTGGGTCTCTTGCTGTCCTGCCTCTCACTGCCACCTCTGTGCTGCTGCTGCGGTTGCTGCTGCTGGTGGTGGCTTCAAAGTACCTGCTGGGCCTTGTTTGGCTGCTGCTAGTGCCGGCCCTGATTCTGCTGTTGCAGCTGCTGCTGCCGTGGGAAGAGGAGCAGTGGGATATAGTGGGAGCAGACAGACGGAAGTAGGGGGGCCTCAGCTGGACCAGAGAATCAGGGGGCAGCCTGTAGAGAGGGTGTACTCGCGGAAGAGGCTAAAAATGGATGTGACTGTAAAGAAAGAGCCAGTGGGCGAGGAGCCACTGGCAGGTGTGAGGGTGTGTGCTGGTGAGGGCGAGAGGGGTGAAGGAGTGGTGAAGAGAGAGTGGGAGGAGGTGCAGAGAGTGGGGGTGGAGGTGAAGAGAGTGGGGGTGGAGGTGGGGAAAGGGGGCCTCATGCGTTATGGGAGGGAGTATAAGAGACGGAGGAAACGGATTCTGTCGGAGGGGTGTGACGCTGCAGAGGGGCTAGTGAGGGAGAGTTTCTGTGCAGCATGCGCATGCAGAGGCGCGGATGGTGCAGGGGGCGTGCACACAGGGGGCGTGCACACAGGGGGCGTGCACACAGGGGCAAGGACTCCTGTGGTGATAGTGCATGAGCACATGTGGCGCATGGCTACGGATCAACGGCCAGGATTGCAGGGTGTGGCGGTGGAGGGAGCGGGACAGACGGTGCCAAGGAGCGGGTGGCAGAAGCAGGCTCTCTCTCTGCTCCCACCTGCCCCTCGTGGCCCCTCGTCGCCCCATGATGCATGCGGTGACATGCATACTCATACCAACACCAAATCCCCCATCCCTGCACAGGCTCATAACCATGCCCATGCCCCTGCCCCTGCCCCTGCCCATGCCCATGTCCACGCGCATGCACATCCGTGTGTGCACATCCCCGCAGCATGTGGTCTCACCTACCCTGCTACATGCATGCATCATCACACCCATACCCTCGCCCACGCCCACGCTCAAGTGCCGTGTCGCATGCATGCTGCTACTGCCATGCCCCCTGACCTCTGCTGTCCCCACCAAGTGGACCCACTGCACATGTGCGCACATGGCATGGCATGCCCAGTAGCAGCAGCACAGACGTGTGGCGAGGGAGTGGCGGCAGTGAGGGGTGTGACTCCAGATGATGTGCCTGAAAGGGGGTCCGCCACTGGCAATGGCGCGCTGGCAGTGGGTGCACACGTGGACACTGCTGGTTGCACTGATGTGACACGTCAGCAGGAAAGGGAAGGGGATGGGGGACGCTTGGGGGGAGAGGAGGGGAAGAGAGACGGAAAGAAGGGGATGTTTGAAGGTAGAGAATGGAAAGGGGAGAGAGGGAGGGGGGGAGGAGTGAGAAGGGGTAGAGGAGGGAGAGGAGGGAAGGGAGGGAGAGGAGGGAGACGAGATGGAAGAGGGAGCAAAGGCAGCGATGGGAGAGAGGATGTGGCCACAGGTGACCTCAAGGGGCTTGGCGTTGCTTCTGCTGCTGCTACTGCTGCTGCTACTGCTGGTGGTGACGCCAGTGCTGCTGCTGCATGTGGGCAGGGTAGGAGAGGGGGCATGTCTTGCGTTAGAGCAGCAGGGCCGGGCCGAGGGGGAAGTGGCAGCAGCAGACACGCAGCAGCTAGAGTGGTGGCAGCTGCAATGACTCGCGTGGCGAGGGGAGGGCGGGGAGGGCGAGGAGGGCGTGGAGGGCAGGCGGGTGTGGTGTGCGCAGGGAGGGGAGACGTGGCCATAGGAGGTAGCAGTGACGTGGAGACAGGGGACGATGGTGCTGGCACCAAGGGGGGAGGGAGGGGAGGGAGAGGAGGGCGGGGGAGGGGGCGGAGGGGCGGGGGCGCGTGGTGGGGCGGGGGTGGGGGGCGAGGGGGCGCGGAGGCGGAGGGGGTGCGGGATGCCATGCTGGAGCGGCTGAGCCAGGCGCTGGTGGGGCAGCGCGTGCAGCTCTGGTGGCCCCTGGAACAGAGGTGGGAGGGGGGGGGGGTGAGGAAGGGGTGACGAGAGATAGAGGAGGGAGAGTGCGGCGGATGGGTGGGCGGTTACCAGAGGTGGTGTGGTGAGGATAAGTCGTGGCCGATTGCTCCGTTGCCTCTTGCCGCCCTGGCTTCTTACCGCCCTTGCCTCATTGCTGCCTTAGCCAAGCGCCCGTTGCCCACGTCCCAAGTTGCGCTCGCTCGTGACACCCTGCCACCTCTTCCCTGTCTCTCTCCCCCGCACAGGTTCTTCGCAGGCACGGTTATGGGCTTTGACCCCGCCACCATGAAGCACCATGTGAGTTGCCCCTCCACCATGCATGTGAACCCACGCGTATGTCATGTCAGCATGCGGGGTAGCACCATGTGAGCAGCAGCATGTGAGCATCAGCATGTGAGCATCAGCATGTGAGCAGCAGCATGTGAGCAGCACCATGTGAGCATGTGAGGGCTAGTGCACGGAGCATCTGATGTGATGTGAATTTCTTCTGATGTGACTTAGAGTGGCATGAATGAACGGCAGCAGGTGAGTCTGCGCATGTTCCAATACCAGCTTACTCCACAATGACTGCATACAGCCAGCCCTCCTCTCCCCTGTCTTCCACCCGCACTCCTCTCCTCCTCTCCCCCGCCTCCCTTCCCCGCTTCCTCCCCCTGGTCCATACACTCACACTCTAAAGGCCTCACCAACCCTCCCTCCCCTCTTCTCCCCTTCCCCTCCCCCTTATCTCCCTCCCCTCTTCCCCCCTTCCTTCCCTCCCTTCCAACCCCCTCGCTCTGTCCCCTCCTCCCTTTCCTCTGTTCGCAGGTGCGGTACGACGATGGGGACGAGGAGCACGTGGTGCTGGGCCGCGAGCAGTGGCAGCTGGAGGCGCACCCACCGGGCAGAGCAGGCAGAGGCGCGCAGGGGGGAAGCAGCACGGGGAGAGGCACAGGGGAGGGCACTGGAGAGGGGGCAGGGGGCGATGGGGAGGGGGAAGGAGCAGGGGAGGAGGCAGGAGGGAGAGGCAGGGGGGTGAAGTGGGGTGTGGGGTCGGGCGGAGCTGCTCGTGCTGCTATGGGCAAGGGCAAGAGGCCTGCGGATGGTGCGCCCCTGCCGAGCCTGGCCGATGCGCCGAAGCTGTTTGGTTCAGCGCAGCGGCCAGGTTCGGGGCTGAGCCGGGCGGAGCAGGAGGCGCTAGCACGGCAGCAGGCGCTGGTGGGGCGAAGGGTGGAGGTGTGGTGGCCGCTGGAACAGAGGTGCGTGAAGAGGGGGGCTGGTGGAGGGCAGGTGGGGCAGGGCAGGAGAGGCGCTTGTGTGGGTGGGGAAGGGCAGCAGTGATGTGGGAGTGGGGCAAGGGAGGGGTGGTGTGAGGATGCGGAGGAGTGACGTGGGGATGGGGCAGGGTGCAAGTGGGGGAAAGATTAGGGCATGGGAGCACTGTGGGGAGTGGTGCAGACGGGAAGGGAGTAGTTGACACTGTTGTTTGTCTGGAACCACGCAGGTGGCTCTTCAACCATGCATGATGTCACCCACCCCCTCTCTTCCCATGCTCTCCTCTCATTTTACCCTTGTCTTTGATTGTCTCGTGCGGCACCTCGCCACCGGCATCACTGCTTCCCTTGACCCGCCCAAACCCCCTGCCATTCCACCTGTTGTGGTCTTGTGTCACTGTTCGCTTCCTCTCCTGATAATGCTCCGTCCCTCGTTGCCTGCCCTCCCTAGCAGGTTCTTCAAGGGGGTCATCGGCGGCTACGATGCTTCCACTCGCAAGCACAGGGTGCGTGCCACCTGCCATGTGCCACCCACGTGCCATGTGCCACCCACGTGCCATGTGCCACCCACGTGCCATGTGCCAGTGTTCTCGCAGTGGTCCCAACACGCCCAACAGGCCTGTTTTACTCCACTTGGTCTTGCCTCCATCTGCTGTTCCCTGTTCGTTTTGCAAGCCACCACTCAGGACCACCCTCGTTGATGCATGCACCACACGCCCTCATCTTCACAAAATCCACTCGCTTTCTTTCTCTCTGTTGCCCTCTGCATTTTTTAACGCCAGGCCAGCACATCGAATATCTCTTCCTCTTCTTCCCTCCATCTACCTCCCTCTCCCTCTCTCCCCCTCCCTTTCTCTCCCTCCCTTTCCCACTCCCTCCCTGATTCTCTCCATCTCCTCTGCCAGGTGGCATATGATGATGGTGACGTGGAGCACGTATCTTTGCGTGCGGAGCGGTGGCGCTTTGAGAGACAAACGGTGCCACCCACTGCCTGCTACTCGTTGCCCTTCTCCTGGCGATCCGAGGTAAAGCATGGGTGATGTGCAGTGGGAGAGGTGTGTGGTGTCTGTGTGGTGTGTGGGTGGTAAGTTTGATGAGTGGTGTGGTGGCTGTGATGTATGTCAGGTTTGTTTCTAATCTCTCGCTCTTCCGTCCCCGTCGCCACCACATTTCCTCTCCCTACCCCCAATGTCATCACTTGGCATGCTGCCTGCATCCCGTGCTCCCCTCTATCGCTTGCCCCCCTTTTTCAGCCCGCTCACCGTGCATGGTGGTACAGCACGACTCCAACACACTAGGACTCACGCTCCCTGCTTGCACTCACGCGCCTCCTCTCCCTTCCGCTCTCCCCCCCCCACCCTGTTCCCCCTCCCCCCTTCCCCCTCCTCCGTTCCCCATCGCCTGTCTCCCCTCCGGCTGTCCCTTCCCCCCCCCCAGCCACTGACCCACCGTGCGGTGCGCGACCTGCAGGGCGAGCAGATCAGGATTTGGGCACCGCAACTCCACAGGTGGGCACAGGGAGGCGCAGGGGGGATCAGGGGAGCGGCGGATTAGGGGAGGGAAGGTAGCTTGTGGTAGGCTCTTGTGGGGGGGGAATGGAAAGGGGGAAGTGCTGCCTGTGTGGGTGTGCCGCATGGGGCACTTGGAGGGGTGGCTGGTGGGGAGAGGGCAAGGGGGAGTGGGTGTGGCGTGGAGAGGATGGGTGATAGGTTGTTGAGAGTTGGGGTTGGGAAGGAGTGGGGAGGTGAGAGAGAGTGATCGGCAGGCAAAGGAGGGAAGCGTGGGTGAGATGGGTGGTGGGTCACACCACATACAACCATCCATGGTCACACCACATACAACCATCCATGGTCACACCACATACAACCATCCATGGTCACACCACATACAACCATCCATGGTCACACCACATACAACCATCCATGGTCACACCACATACAACCATCCATGGTCACACCACATACAACCATCCATGGTCACACCACATACAACCATCCATGGTCACACCACATACAACCATCCATGGTCACACCACATACAACCATCCATGGTCACACCACATACAACCATCCATGGTCACACCACATACAACCATCCATGGTCACACCACATACAACCATCCATGGTCACACCACATACAACCATCCATGGTCACACAGGTTTCACCTCAGCACCTTTTCTCTGCCCGTCTCTTTCCCCCTCCTTCCCATTCCCCCTCTCCCCACCTCTATCATGTGTGCGCTATCACCTGCCCTGCCTCCCACCCCACCCTCCCCTCCCCCCGGTCCTCCCCCTGGTGTGCGGGGGCAGGTTCCGCAACGGCACGGTGGTATCAGTGGCACACAGCAAGTTTACCATCGAGGTGCCCTCCTGCCCCATGCGCCTGCCCCATGCACCTGCCCCATGCATCCTGCTATCCATGCCACCCCATCCATGCCACGCCATCCGCCCCCCCTTCCCGTGCCATGCCATCCCCTTCCTGTGCCATGCCATCCCCTCCATTCTTTCCGAATCGTTTTAGTCCAAGGCTCCTCTCCGTGTGCCACTCTGCTGTCATGCCGCCGCCATGCTTTTCACACACCACTGCCATGCTCCTCCTTGTCACTGATGTTTCTCCCGTATCCCCCTCATTCCCCCTCCCCTGTGTGTATCTGCCCCCCCTGGCTGCGCCCCTACCCCCACCTGTTTCACTTGTGGTGCATGGCACATACACGCCTCTCCCCCAACCACACTTATCTCTCCCCGACACACATTTCCCCTGCCACACGTCTCCCCCCACACACACATGTCTCTTCCCCTGGCATGGAGCTGGTCAGTTTCTGTACGACGATGGGGAGATCGCAGTGCTGGACCTCTCACAGTGCCGCTGGGAGCTTGTAGACTCCGAGTGACTCACTGCATCTACCACATACAGCCGTTAGATTGTATGCAAGTGAGAACGCTCACCCGCAGATATGTGCACTCCCATGCACATGCATAGTGGTGGCCCCTTGAAATCATTATTAATTTTTGTGTTCTCCCTAAAATGAGAGCTTATTGTATGGCCTGTATTGCTGCTATGTGTAAGGAATTTTCTCGACATTCCTTTAGCGCGCCCTGCAACATCGCGTACAGCAGTAGCCGTTGTTCGCCCGTTACTGCTAACGGGGCTTCGCCAACTTCGCGCGCACTGTTTCACCAAACCTCGCACTGCCGGCCCGGCCGTGTCGGTCTACGCTTCGGGGTTAGCCGGAACCTCACTGCAAGCATAGCACTAGCCAGCTCGCACGCACCGCGTTATCGTTTGCATGTTTCGCGTATAAATGTTCGCTCATGCCTTCGCTCACATTTTGTACTCGGTTGACACCTTAGTGCAATCCTCGCTACCTCGATTCATTGCACCCGTAACACTTGGTATCAGAGCCTCTTTCTTTTCGGACCGCGCATCTCCGCACCCCAGGAGATCAACTTATGATTTTTCACTCGAAGGGACTCACGCACCTTAGCCCCTAGGAGCCGCTGTCCTCGCGTTCTCTCGTAAACGCGTGCAGCCACGACTGCGCCTAGACTAAACCGAGCCGACGCCCTTCGTCATGGCCGAGCACATCGACGTCACAACTCTCACGCAGGAGCACTTGAATGAACTGCTGTGGCAAATCCGTGAAAGCTCTGAAGAAATCGCGGCGTTGACGGCAGAACGCACGTCCCTGCAAAATGACATCGCAAGAGCATAGCAAGCACAATCTGAAGCACCTGGCACTCCGATACAACCTGCACCACAGACATCGCAACATTGAAGTGTGGGGCAACCCGCGAGCGCGGCTAGTGATGGCGTCGTCCACCACGACGGAGACGACGACCACGACACGACACACTCCGAAGCGACGAATGCGGCCAAAAGTCAGCCTCGAGTCACGATTTCCATGCCAGCCGGCGAATCAACACTGCCGTCGCCGATGCCGCTGAAGCCGCAACGTCCACCATGCTTCGACCCGAGTCAACGGGGTGGTCCTACCGTTCAGGCGTGGTTGTTCACGATTAACGTCTTCTTCGACGCCAACTACGTCTCGGAGGATACGGCGAAAATCCGTTACGCCGTGTCGTTGCTGCGAGGACCCGCCATGGATTGGTGGCGTGTCGTCGCCACGAAGCCGGTGGACTACGCGACTCTACCGACACGGGAAGGACAAACCGGACCCTGGGCGCCGTCGTATTTCGTGGAGGTGCCCCAATATCGCACGTGGGACGCGTGGTGCGCAGGTCTGCGCGCTCGGTTTGAGCCAGTTGCGGCTTCGATCGCGGCGCGACAGAAGCTCCGCACTTGGCGCCAACTCGGTTCTGTCCAGGACTACACGAGCGGGTTTCTGGCACTATGCGAGCAAGTGGGTTACATGCACGAGAGCGAGCGCATCGACCGCTACATCGGCGGCCTGAAGCAGGACATCGCTAAGGAAATCCAGCTTTGCGGCGTCACCGACTTTCAAGAAATTCTTGCTATGGCGGAGAAACTTGACTTCTTCCACCGACCGAGACCGGGGTCCTACGGAAGCAGCAACTGGGGACATCGGTCTCGTGGGACGAACGAGGGCGCTACGATACGTGCCGTCGCCGCGAATGCCACTGCCGCACCGTTCAAAGGGCGCTGCTTTGCGTGCAATCGGCCGGGACACCGTAACAGCGAATGCCCGAAAAATGTTAAGGGAAAGGGGGAAGCTCAGCAGCAGAAACAGACCAAGCAGCAGGGAAACGCTAGGAGTCAGTAGCAGACGGGCCCTCTACTGACAGGTCACGCCGCTCGCCCGACCCAACCGACCCTCACCGAGTGATTGTGCCGGTTCACGCAATCGACCACACCCGGCCGAATAAGGAGGGTACTACGGTAGATAGCCCCATACTGCTTAGTGGGAAAATCGGTACCGACTTAGTTAAAATCTTCGTAGACGGGGGAGCCAGCCACGGCATTAACAACACTGCCACAGCACGGAAACTGAGACTGCCACTGGACAGATGCTTACCTGAGATCGACGCAAGACTGGTCGACAGCACGCCACTGGCGATACGGGAACGTGTGGACCGGGTTCGGATTTGATGCGGGGGTAACTTCACGTTTAGCCAGGAAATGCTCGCAACAACCCTCGACGGAATCGACATTTTACTCCGTCCTGATTGGCTGCGACGACACAATCCGCGAATCGACTAGACGACGGGTGACTGCACCGTGCGAGTGAACGGTAACAATATCGCTTTACCTCGCTGGGGCTCGCCTGAGTCTTCGTCGGTGCGTGTCAACGCGATCACGATGAAACGCGCCGTAGTGGCAGGAGCTGACGTGTACGCGGTTGACATTCGGGAAGTCGGGGCAGCAGACAAAGGGGGGGATTTACAGAAACCGCTAGCCGACGTACCGGATGATCTGGCTGTCAGAAACAAGAAGTGATTGAACTACACAACATTGCAGTACAAGTATGAAACCCTAGAGTTGTGTACCCCCTAAAGGCTAACCCACTATAGTCTACACACCCCCATAGGCAAAGTGGGGGAGAGCAAGGGGTCACAAGACCAGTCAAGAAAGGCAAACAAGCTCAGGGTGGATCACAACGTCACCACACACTCTGAGCACAAGCAAAGGGCCTCAGGGCCAGTTCACATGCAGAGGCATATATGCAACACAAATAAGAAGGTGATCTCAACCTAGCAAAGCAAACTGGCAGGTATATATATATAGAGATCAGAGTACAGGCAAAGCCTACAGCAAGTGAGGAAAAGTGGGCACAAGCCCTAGCAAAGTGAAAAAACGCTGATGATCACCAGACTGAAGTGCCTTGGTGAATATATCAGCGGTGTTGGCCAGAGTGGCCACGTAACGCAGACGAAGCTGACCGCGCTGCTGCAGCTCTCGAGCCAAGAAGTAACGGAGAGCGATGTGCTTCGTTCTGTGCTCCAATCTGTGCTCCTCACACAAGGCAATGGCAGCCTTGTTGTCGACGTACAGCACTGGAGGAGAACTAGGCCGCTCTCCCAAGTCGGTCAGCAGGTAGGTGAGCCAGCGTAGCTCCTGTGCAGCCATGGCCCCTGCGTAGATCTCAGCCTCACAACTGGAGCTGAGAACAGAAGACGAGCGAGAAGAACGCCAAGAAACTGAACCAGAGCCAAGGCTGAAGGTGTAACCCTGTGACGACCGCTGAGTAGCCTGGTCGTCAACCCAAGAAGCTTCTGAGTGCCTAGTGAGAACAACTGAGCTCCCTCCTCCAAGCACGAGCCCCATGCCCGATGTACTGCACAAGTAGCGCAATACCCTCTTTGCAGCATCCCAGTGCACCTTTCGGTGCCTGCCAGGAGCCACGTAGCGGGCCAGAAGGCCAAGAGGGTATGCTAGGTCAGGACGAGTGCAAGTCATCAGGTACATGAGGCAACCAACTAGCTCTGGGTAAGGACCACTCGGCTCTACGGACTCATCCGAAGGCAGAGCTGAGAGCGAGTGACCTATAGCCAGAGGAGTGGCCTGTGCTGAGGATCAGGTGAAGCCGAAGCGCTGAAGGACCTGCTGCACCATGTGTGACTGAGTCAGTGTGATGGTGCGGCGTGCTCTGTCCCGGGTGATCTGCAAGCCAAGGTAGCTGCGCAGTTCACCCAGGTCTGTGCACGTGTGTCTCTTCTGCAGCTCCAACTTCACGTGGGCGAGAGCATCAGTGTCAACAGTGGCAAAGACCAAGTCGTCGACGTACAGGAGGATGTAGAACGGCGGCAGCGAAGTGTCGGTGCGCAGAAACAACGACGGGTCAGCAGTAGAGGGCGCGAACCCAAGTGCCGCAAGAGTAGTCCTCAGTGTGTCGTGCCACTCACGGGGCGCCTGGCGGAGACTGTAGACTGGTCGTCGGAGGCTCCACTGGGTACCAGGAGGAAACGACCGAGTGAAGCCAGGAGGGCGGCGCAGCCAGATCTCGTGCAGGCTGCCCTGCAAGAAAGCTGTGCTGAAGTCAAGAGAGTGAAGCTCGTAGTCACGCTGAGCAGCAACGTGCAGTAGCACCCGAAGAGTGGTCATCTTCGGGGTGGGGGAGAAGGTCTGAAAGAAGTCTACTCCCTCTCGCTGACTGAAGCCTCGAGCAACGTAACGAGCCTTGAAGACAGGCGGAGAACCCGGCGGCCGCTTCACCCTGAAAATCCACATGCCACTGACGATCTTCGCCCCAGGAGGGGGAACCTCGTCAACGTAAGTGCCAGTGGACTTCTAGGATGCCATCTCTGCATCCATGGCTGACTGCCACTGAGAGGAGTACTCACCCGCGATCGCCTCAGCGTACGCGGGGTCGGGATGTCTGAAGCATCCGGGTCTCCCTCAGGGACAATCAGCATGGACACGAGATGAGGTGCAGCGGCTGCAAGACACTCAAGGTCCTCCTGTCTGTCCTCAAGGACGTCCGTGCCTAGAGCACACTCACCCCCGACGGACGGAGGACAGATAGACTCAGACTCAACAACAAGACTGGCAGCGTAGTCTAGACGACAGTGAGAAGCAAAGTCGACAAGCTCAGCAACTAGGGCAGACGCAGCAGCAGACTCAAAGGAAGGGTCAGTGACAGCAGTGGCCAGGAGACGCGTGACAGTAGAACTAGCAGCACGAAGAGAGTCAGACTCCGGGTAAGCAAGGACAGGAAGAGAGGACTCAGGAGGAGATGGCAGAGGGACATGCTGCGGAGCAGTGGAAGGACGCAGAGTCATATAGTGTGTGCCAGGCACGGGTGGAGGACGCTCACGCTTACCACGGCGACCAGTGCGAGCAGCACGAACAGGTGACACAGGATGCGACACAGGCGACACAGGACGAGACTCAGGCTCACGACGCTCTGTAAGACCGCCTGTCGGACTAGTGTAGGGAGAAGGACCAGGAAGTGGCGAGGCAGGTGGGAGCTGG